ATGGAGAATGAGATGCTCGCTGACTACCTTCAGCGGGATGCAGAGAGGGCCTCCGGCCTGGAGGACACAGACGAGGCCAAAAGCAAAGTGCAGCTGACGCATGCATTCATGCCTAGATGCAGGCCTTGTCAGACCTCCCGTCATCGCCTGTAGACAAGGGCAAGAAGGCTGTGTTCTCGATTGTAAAAGAGTGCGCACGTGCTGGCCAAAACACAAGCCTTGAGGCAGCTAAAGGTGGTCGACAAGGGCAGCAGCTGTGCTCTCAGTGACTTGCTTGGGGGTCCCGAAGCTGTTGCCCGAGTGTTCACGATGTACCAAGGCGGGGGCGCCAATTACCGACAGCTTTGAACCTTGAGGACATTGGAAGCTGCATCAGGGTCAAGCCATCCCAGTGCATGGCGCGAGCGTTGCAGCTAGGACAAGTTCAGGATAGCCAACCAGGAGGCTAGGCATTTGCTGGCCAGTTCAATGCCTGCTTGGCGAGACGCTGCCCCGCAGATGGAAGCTTTAACCAAGGACATAGCTGCGAACCCAGTGTGTCTTGCAGAGCTTCTTGTCTCAGTTGCAGCTGTTCATGCCAGGATCTCGGCTCCCAATAGCCAGGAATGCCATGCAACATGCGATTTAGGATTACCCACCCTCATATAACTTTCGACACAAGTGCCCGTACACCCTGCGAGTGCTCTTCCTGGATGCAAGTGTGCCAAGGGGTGATCAATGCATCACCTTTGGGTGTCCCGGGTGTCCCCACTCCCGCTGCTCGACCTCGACATCTTCGAACGAAGTCTAGAACGAAGTCTGGAAGGAGGTCTTTCGGAAGATCCGACTCCGTCGGCGCTGGGTTTTCACTCGCAAGCGCAGCTCTTGCAGCTCTGCGGCCTCTGCGCCGACGGCTCTTGCCATGCTGTGCCTCCGGAGACTGGGTGCAACCGAAGAAGCGGCAGCTGAGAGGCCCAAGCAATCCCAAGAGACAGCATGGAAAGGGGCGCGCTCCGGCGTCAGAGGCGAGACCACCTGTGCTGACAAGTTCGCAATGCCTTGCCTCAGCAGACGTTCATTTCGTACTTGGGTTTTGTATTGTGGGCAGTCCATGACCCAAGATCCAACGAAACTTTTTGCTCTGGAACCAATGCCCTTCTCTCATACTGTGGAAGCATGGTCGCAACATGATAGGGTTCTGGGTTCGATCTCATGTCCACTATGCCGTGCCAAAGCAGTGACCTCACATGGTGCAGGGAGTGGACTCAACATTAAATCCTGTTGCGTGCCACGCATCCACAGATGGCTGGTGGGGAACATGAGTTCCACTTCTCAGTTCAATACTCATGGTTCACAAGAAGACCCCTTTTTTTCTGGAGTCATGGTAACGAATTCGCTTTATGACTGGGCTTGGAGGTAGCTTTCCCCTTGGCACTTCAATGACGTCGTACTAGTGTTGTGGTGGTTGTTGAGGTTGTGGTCGTGGTGGTGGTGGGTCGTGCATGGTGGGTGGTGGGTGGATGTGGGTGGTGGGTCGTGGGTGGTGGGTGGTGGGTGGTGGTGGTGGTGGTGGTGGTGGTGGAGGTGGTGGTGGTGGTGGTGGTGGTGGAGGTAGTGGTGGTAGTGGTGGTGGTGGTGGTGGTGGTGTCGTGGTCGTCTTTGTTGTGTTTGTTGTGGTTCAGTTGGTATGGCCTGGCGCTGTTCCTGGTTGCTATTGTTGTTGTTCTTCCTCTTCTTCTTCTTCTTGAGGTTGTCTTCTTTGCTATCTCCGTCGTCGTGTACATGGTCGTCGTCGTGGTCGCCACTGTCGTCGTCGTAGTAGTGGCTGTGGTAGCGGGGTAGTGGCAGCGTCGTAGTAGTAGTAGTAGTAGTAGTAGTAGTAGTAGTAGTAGTAGTAGTAGTAGTAGTAGTAGTAGTAGTAGGTCAGTCGTCGTCGTGGTCGTCGTCGTCGTAGTCGTAGTAGCAGTATCATGAGTAGTGGTGGCAGCAGAAGTAGTAGTGGTCGTCGTCGCCATCGTAGTCGTAGTAATCGCAATAGTCGTCTCTGATGCACCGCATTGAATCCGGTGACAGAAGCCCGAGACCATTGGCCGCAAAGGGCGCATTAGGTTCCTAAGTTTCCAACCTTTCAGAAAGACTTCACGAAACACGGCATCATCCACAAGCAGTATTGGAAGTGGATGTGGTAGAGGTCGTGGTAGTGGTAGTGCTGGTGGTGGTGGTGATGGTGGTTGCCGTTATGGTGCTGGTTGTGGTTGCGGGCGGTTGTGGTTGTGATTATGGTAGTGCCGGTTGTCGACTGAGATTTGATGATTGATGGACAGACTCGCTGACTGACTGACGGACTCACTGATTGTTTGTTTGTTTGCTTGTCTCTCTTTGTTCGCTTGTTTGGTTGCGTGTCAGATTGTTCGGTTTGATTGTTGGGTTGCTTGGCTTGTTTTGTCGTCGTCGTTGTTGTTCGTTGTGGCAGCGGAAAATTCCGAAAAGCACAGCGCATCTTATATAGCTTAATTTTAACCACTTTTGTTTTGCTTGAGCAGCGTTAGTCGGCGGCTAATCTGCAGGATATTTTGCACCTACCGTGCTTTTCGATGCGAGATCCCTATGCGTCGCTGTTGCAGGGGCCTAAGTTGCTGGCGCTGCATGGACGGGTGGATCGGCCAACAGCTTGCAGGTTGCACGGTGTGAAGACGGTGGAAACGCGAAACCACCCTATGCTCAGGGGAGTAGTCGGCCGTTTCCTGAGAGAGTTGATGCTGGTGTGTTAATGTCGTGCCGACACTGTGCCGTTTGCCACCCAGGCCCCTGTCTTCTGCATATCGGCCACAAAACCATGGATGAGGGTGTTGCGGTCCCAGAAATCTTACATGTCTGGCACAGTCAGTGGGGGCCGCAACAGGTGAAACATGGTAGCTTCCAGGGTAGGTAGTGGGGACCTCTCTGGAACATAGGAATATTCAGGAACGTCAACGAAGCGATCACTCAACGCGGCGTCTGGCTAGGAAAGAACTTGTGGAACCGAACATCTGCGTCGGGCTTAGGGCTGCAAGGTCTTGCTATTGTTCTTTGGTCGTGTCTGTTTTCGTTTTCGCTTTCACCGTTTCTCTTTTCCCCTTTTCGTTTCTGTTCTCCCTCTGGCATCGCATGCTTCCGAACCTGGCTTGCTAAGCGAGTCTCAGCAACGAGGCTGGTAGCGATGCTAAGCATTCCTCCATTCTCATGGCAAAGAAACTGAGAAATGCCTGCGGACTTAGGTCGCCTTGGAATTTCTGTGGCGGCGGGGTCTGCTGGAGGACCAAGACCTGGAGCGAATGCTGAAACCTCCGGATGGTCTGAACCGCGGCCAGGCGTGGATGTGCGCGCCTGTTTCAAAGGCGACTCAGCTGAGTCCTGTCAGGTGCTTGGCTTGGTTGACCTCGATGCCACGCGACAGAAGCTGGGCTGGAAGTTGCTTGAGGCTGCAACAGCCTGCAACGGAGATCTGAAACATCTTGAGAAGAGCATGTGCGTGCGCAATGTGATTGAAGTGCATGCGGTCGAGTGAAGAAAGAGCTTTTTGAGATTTAAGGTACACTGCAGATGAGTTGAGGCTTGGTCCAGCTACTCGTAGGTCCTGTGCTGCCGTGCTGCCATCTTCACACCTTTAATCTTCGATGAACGGCTGTATTGGTAACGTCACAGACTGCATTCAACCAGACTTGCTAGTTGCTCCGTTGCTCTCTTCCATCAGGTCGCCGGCCGTTCAGAATTCGGTGACTTCTGAGGCAGGGAACGAGCACCATTTCGGTGCACACTTTTGAGTGTGTGCCTGTTGTCAGGCTGTGGGCAAGTGGGCTACGCCTGTCTTGAGCGCATGGTGGCTCCAGACACCGCTTCGCGAAAGAGGCACCTTTGGAAGGGCGAAGCTAACAAAGCAGATTGGTCGATTCAGTCTGCAAAGCAAGGAGTGAGCCTGCGTGCAGAGTCCTTGGCATGATATTGTGCGCAGAGCTGTTAATGGCAGAAAGTCGTGGACTTGGCCGCTGCACCCACGAACTGCAACGAGCGAGAATATCATTCTGATCTACACAATCTGCAGCACCAAGCTTCTTACCCTGGGTTGATACGCGTAAATCCAAGAGAAACCGCGTGCTCATTGTTGCTGCTTTGACCCCAGTTCGTCGCATGCCGACGTTAGAGAAGATGACGTTGTTCTCGAAAGGTGAGAGCTTACGTGCATCCGCTGATGCTGCCTTGCACTAAGCAGCTCGCAACAAGTTCAAGGGGAACCATCTCGGTCGTTCCATTTCCCAGATGGTCCGTTTCGCTTTCTCTCGAGATTCATCAAAGCTGGCCTGGGTGCCGAACTTGGGTGTTTCCAGCTCGCGAGGCATTGCGGTGAACGACTGCCCTGCAAGAAACGAGAAATGTCACGTGCATGCTTGGACTCTTGAAGCCTCGCCAGAAAAATTTTCAAACCATTGCGTGCTGGGACTGCAAAGGTCAACCTGAGAGAAATTGCAGCAGGAATGCAACACATCTAGCTGGAGTTGGGTGTGCTTTGTTCAATTGTGCTTTGTGCAGTGATTTTGTAAGATGGGATGTGCCAAAGTGTGCGGTTGCTCACGCCCCGCCGCTGGCAAAACCCACACCAAGACGCCAGCAGCCTGTGGGGGTGTTTCCATTGCGGTCATTTGCAATTGCCAGACCCAGCATGTGCTCTCGTATGCCAGGAGAGAGCCCTCACCCACAAACGATCTTCAACGAAGGAAGCCGCGTAATCGTAGCACCGACCTCCCTGACACACTGCACTCACAAGGCCTAGCTCCCGTCAGCCAATCACAAACAGCTATCCTTGAGGTGAGGCTGTCGGAATATCAAATCAGGTTCGGCCGTAGTTGAGTTCTCATCGGCAGGACAATGCATCGAGTTGGCCGTTCAGTGGCATGAGCTGAGGTCTTTCGTTCCGCCACGACTTTTCATGCTCACGGCAAACTGTGATGGTAGTGGATGCTTGAGCTTTGCATCGGACCGCCCAATTTTTATTGCCATCAAGAACAAGCAGAAGACTGAACAGGTGTCACAACAACAGGCGAGATCTCAGGAAACATAGGGACAGTCTGATGGTTCGATATGTGTGCGTTGCAGAGCAGTGCAAGGCCAGCCCGGTGTGTGGACGGTTCGTCTGCCCCGACTCCCGGCAATATTTACGAACAACTACAAGCCGACTAATGTACAAAGTAGTCGTTGTCGTGTCTTAAGCCCGACAGTCATATTTACCGGAAAACCGTTCGAAACGGCATGGCCAGAATTGCTGACAGAGCGAGTGTCTGACAGCCAACAGTCCAATAGCATCGGGCCAGCAGGCCCATCAGTGTCAAGCTTGCTGCGGCTTGAAGTCACGCAGGGAGCTCTCAAAGACTTGATGCAACACGCCAGCAAGGATCCGCAATCCCGGCACCAGCGATGACGCTTTTCAGCCAGTCAGAGACTGAGGCTTCGGGGCCTGTTGTTTGCACAGTGGTTTTCTGGACCCTTGCACTCAAATCGATGTTCGTGTGTGTGTGCATGTGCGTGTGTGTGTGTGTGTGTGTGTGCGTGTGCGTGTGCGTGTGCGCCTGCGCCGAACGAGCACTTGATTCTGCGACGAGGCCGACCATCTCTGATGCTTGGCATGCTACTTACTTGGCAGTAAATGCAGCGAGATGCTTCAAACAGATGATGAGCTGTCTTTGATCCTGGTCGCCTTAAAGTCGCAGCTTTTGAAAGCAGAGATGCCTCTGGGAATTTTCGATCCGATAGTGGCGGGCTTGTCGGAACGGCTTGTGCTTCAGGCAGCCGAGGAGTCAGGCCGAACTGCAGCCACCACTTTTACTGGGGCTGAAGAAATGAGCTCCATTCCGGTCGGCCGACCATATTCCTCATCCGAGGACGTGGAATCACTGCCGCTTCTCATGGTGTTCGACCTGGATGGAGTCGTGTTGCTGAAATGGTACAATTTTCCATCTTCGGAGAGTTCGGCAGAAGTGACGGCTCATGTGCAGCGTGGTTAAGGTCTGCTGGTCTCCCGACATGTGACTCACCTTAACCAAGTTATAGACTGGGGTCCGGCGGGGTGTGTCACATAGGTACCTTCATGCTGCCAGGAGGCTGCAATCAACAATCTCGTAGCAGAGTTGTATCAGCGCAGTGCAGGTATCAGACCAAGGGAGGTGAACCCTACAGCCTGGTGGCCCCGGGCTTGGTCAAGAACTCGAAGGATGAGGCGCACAAGAGCCGGTGCATTGATGTGCATTCGCTTGCACTTGACCATCTCTTTGTGTAGCTTCTTATGAGTGGCGAGATTCGGGTTGCAAAGCTTTTCGAGGAGATCCGGCTCTTCCCAGCGGTCCAAGCAGTTTGGAAGATGCTCCTTGCCATGAGCTGGGACATTCGAGTCAGTTGTCGGCTACACTGTGCCATGCAGTTCTTGGAGCGCTCGATTGCCAAGCTTTTCGGCTCTCTGAGTAAGACAGTCTGAGTCAGCTGCGAGCATGGCGACCTTCCGTCGGCAGTCCAAGCTTGGGGCCTTGCTCGCTGTCGCTGCCGTCCTGGCTTTGTTCTCCCAGCTGCCGGCATTCATCGCTCCCTTGCGTGCGGCGGCGCTGGCTGGAGTGCTGGCCGTGGGAACCCAGGGCAACGTGGCTGTGGCCCATGTGGCCAACAGCTATGTTGACTCCTCAAACATCGTCCTGGCCGAGGACTTGCCAGTGTCCATGGGCGGCAAGGGTGGCGGCGGTCTTGACGGAACGTACACCATGAAAGGCTCGGCAAAGAAAAAGGACTTCATCGATGACGAGAAGTTCATCAAAGCCGACGAAAAGTTCGAGGCGAAATTCGACGAGTACATTGGCGTCTTCGGCATCCTTTTTGTGGGTGCCTTCATCGCCCCGATGGTGACCTACTTTTGGTACGTGCGTGACAGCGACCCTTGGGAGAACTGAATGGTCGACCTCTGACGAAGCCAAGTGGGCAACGGAAGAACTCTTGCAACATATGTAGGTGCACTACTTTGCAGCTGTGTTTCATCCTTGCAGGAGCAAGTTTTCGCGATCTCAGGCACACCATGCTCAACGCCTCTTACACTTGCAGGTGAAAAACAAGCTTGTAATGAGTGCTTGCCGCTCTTTTTGTTTTTTGCTCTTGCATCAGACATGAGCGCGAAAAGCTTAGGCTTCACAGCCCAGAGGCCCGCTCGCGCGGCGTGCGCGTGGCAGTGGCCAGCAGCTAGGAAGCAGAGCCAATGTGCACTGGTCCTCATGCCACGCGGACGCGGCCAGACGCAGCTAGATTGCAGGTAGCTCCCGAAGGCACAAGGCGGTGCCTTTGCTGAAAGCGATGGAGATTGTGCCCGGCGTGTCTATGTGGGATGTGATCGATCCCAGGCAGGGCTCTTAAATGAGGTGACAAAGCAGGTCGAAACTCCTACACGGTTCATCGCATCAGGCTGTTCGAGATGTACTACCGGCGCGGCGAGGGCAAACGGCCGCACTTGGAGGCGAGGCAAAGGTCTGTCGAGTTGAGGTCAACTCCGAACTATGTGTTGAGATAGCTGCGCAGTCATGCTCGTGATGCCAGAATTGGACTGTCCATGAGCCACCAGGCACTGCTCTCGAAGTCTGCCGTTTCTCCCAGTGACGTCCTTTTCGTTGATGACGCTGCAGAGAACGTTCAATCTGTAAGGCTCGTTTACAGCCAGCATATGGGATGCGGCCATGCTTTGGCATGCTCTGACGACACTCGCGCTTCGATCACATGTGCCAGGTCCTTGGGTGTGCAAGCAGTGCACTTGCCACAGGGGCTGACCCAAGAAGCTTGGTCACTTGCGCTGGAGAGCTACGTCAAGTCCAGGGCGAAGTAAATAAAGCCTTGCCGAAAAGCCTGCCGGGCATCCCTGTGGCAGACTGTTTCAGTGCACGGCTTCATTCGCACGCTGGATTCTGAAAAAGTAGGCGCTGTGCTGTATTGCCGGCTTGCGAACGTACGCAACCTGCACATGCAGCGAGGAGTTTCAGGCTTACTGTCTGCTGCAAGGCACAGACGAAGCTCACGTCTGATCAGAACCTTGACATCTTGAAGGCACTGATGGAGGACGGAACCAGCCAACCGCAATGTGCTTACTTCACAGAGCTTGGCCCTGCAGGAAACAGACATCAGGATAGCAGAGGTCAAACGAGATGCTTACGAGTTCAGGCACTTGCGGTACCATACTGACCTGTAACAGTTTTCCCGTACTTTGCCGAGTCTGGCGGAGTCGCTGTAACATTCTTTTCTCTGTCAACTCCTGCAACGCCAGGCGAGACATCGTCGTTGGTGCGGAGAACCCTCGCACTGGGAAGACCGTCGCAGAGAAGGCCTGCGGGCCCACACATTGCCTACAGCCTTCGGCCTTTTTGCGTCATGGTGTGCATGTTATGTGCATGCTTGCTGCTTGTGGTAGATGGTTTCACCATCGCTATACCAGCTTGCAAAACCAGCTAGGTCCTCAAATACATGGAAGACAAGTTGACACAGAAGGCTGGTCGGCTGCTCTTCCCTAAATTAATGCGAGCTGGCCAGTTTTCGGCCAGCTGATCCGGAATCCGAGCAGGATATGCAAATCAACAAGCTTCTCATGAAGAACCAGGCATACAAAGTGGCGATCAAGAAGGCAGCATGTGCTGTGTGCAGAGTGACTGGCAGCGATCCAGCGCAAAGGCTGAGCAGCAGCTGAAGTCCAAAGCGGAAACAGGTGACGACTTGCAATACATAGCATGGAGCTGAGTTGGCGCTGAGGGATGGTTTCAAGGCAAAGGTCTCTGTTTGCCCATTGCATTCAGGACTTCCATCAGCTGCAAATAGAAAACTCCCAGTTCGTCAAGCGCATTGAGGAGGCAAATCAGGACCGGGAGCTTGCAGCAGACCCTCCTGAGGTAGTGTGTGGAAGGGTGATGCTTGTGCCCTCACCTTCAAGCGCTGCTGCACACGAAGAGTAGAATCGTGTGCGGCTTCTGTTGTTCTACCATGATCGAGCAGGTAAATGTCACCTTCGTTTCACGGTGAATGGCAGCCCCATGCACCCATCTATTGAAGGAGCTTATTGAGCTGAAGCGTCGTGCCGGGAGGACTGCCTTGACCTCAGCAACTCACAAACCTGCAATGTCACGAACAGCGAGCCTCCTGTGGCTTATGTGGTATCGTGCTTTCATCACGTATCCCAGGCAATCTGAACCCCTTACCCCACATCCAGGAATGAGGCTGGAGGTTATCTAGTTTCCACCCGGCAGATACTCCGAACCTTCCCCTCCGGGAGATAGTTTCTGCCCTGCCCCACATGTAGTCCGTGCGTCTAATACTGCCGCATGTCTGATACCTCCTGTCTCGAGTATACTCCGCACGTCTGATGCCTCCGTGCATCTGGTTTGTTCTGCTTTACTTCCGCTAGAATACCCCGCGCGTCGGGATACTTAGTTTCCGCGTGTCTGATTCTTCCCGTTCCGTGCATACTCCGGCATCCTGTGCCTCCCGTCCTGCGTGTACTCGGTGCGTCTGACGCCTCCGTGTGTCTGATACCCTGTACTCCACATGCTGATACCCCCTCGCCGAAAAAGAGCTAAGTAGTCCGTGCTCAGTCCGAGCATCTCAAAGGCTCCGCCGCACATCTGATACCTCGTTAGCTTCCAGAGGAGCACGTGCCTCTCTCCACCGCCCCTCCTCCGCCTAGCACAATGGTGTTGACGTGAGAGAGAGTGTGTACATTGAGGCGAGATAGTGTTGTGTGCGATATCCATACAGTTCCCGCAGTTGAGATCGGATGTCTCGCTAAATCCAGACATGGCTTGCCAGACGGCATAGATGATGGGGTGCTCGGGCTGGACCGTGACAGTTTTTCCCCTCATTGTTGGGTGCACATGCAGTTACCCGGCAATTGAGGCATAAGCAAGATATACCGATATGATATACCCATGAGAACCTGGGAGGAAACTAAACCCACCGCTCGTGAGAGCCGTGGCATTGCCGGATCAGACGGTTTTTCGAGCAGGCTAGTGCCTGGCTGTTTGACCGAGTGCTGCATACCAGACTTCACCCCCGACTCCCCGCTGTAAGAAATCACTGGCAAGTCGAGGGATGTCTTCGATTGTCGAACTTTGCAAGAGTTGCAATTGGAGGGTCGATTTGGGTAGGTGAAGATCCTAAACAATATGAAGAAGCGGCTCAGCAGCCTCACCGCCGAGGCAGGCTTAGCTTATGCGCTCGCTTCTGCCTTCTCCGTTTTGCAGGCCAAGTTCCTGCAAGATGAGATCAAAGACAGGAGGTCGATGCTGGCAAAGACAGAGAAGGACATCTGCAAGGTGGTCGAGGAGAAGGAAGCAGCGAGAAAGGAGCATAAGAAGCTTCGTGCGCAGTCCAGCACTCGGTTTCAGTGCACCGTTTTTTTGCTCTTTAGACTCCCGGCCCTTCTTAGGTCTCGGCAGTCGCCAGAGATGCCTCAAGTGGTTCGGAACCCATCTTCATGAGCCGGAACGACATGACAAGAGCCTTTGCCTGCAGGTAGATTACGTCAGTCAGAAGGCAGAGGCATACGAGCTGGAGGCTTGCCAGTGCTCGTCCGAGTTGTAGCAGTTTCTGCAGCTCATGCCCCAGGCGCAGAAGCGCAACTGGGAAAGGAAAGTGGAGCTGGCTGAATCCTCAGGGCCAGCTGAAACTCTCCTCCTCACAGTTGTCGCTTCTCGGAAGATGCTGCAGGCGGAGACGGCGGCCAAACGAATTCGTCAAGCTGTAAAGAACGGAACACAGCTGTCGGGCTCCCAATTCATGGAAATGGTCCGACGACCTACGAGTCTTGGCCTTGCTGCGGCTCAGGCCTGCTGGCCGAAACTGACTGCAGAAGTTCTACGGCTCTGGTCTTGGTCAACTCGGCTGAAGACCAGAGCCCTTGCACCTAGGTCTCACCTGCTGCTACACATGCTCCGAATCCTAAAGGTTCTGCTACAATCTGCTACACAGCTTGAAGATGCAAGATGCAAATACTAGTCTGGAAGCTGCAGGCCAGTTTCACCCCGTCCTTCCTTGCTTCAATACTCGTGCAGCGAGATGAGGGAGGGAAAGCCCCAGGGTTGAGCATCTCAGCATCGTTACCTAAATCCAGTTCAAGTCCTTTCCACACTCAAAACACGAAAAGCCAGCAGAAAGCCCGAAACCCGAAAAAGCCCTGCGCAGAACTGCGAAAGCGAATCAACACATGCCCTGCGCAGATGGAACTTCGATTTCGGCTGCAGAGCGTGCAATTCCGCAGCACTCCTTCAAGCAACGGTAGCTGTTGTCAAACTTCAACTGATTGAAGAGGCTCGGGAAGGCCTGAAACACGTCTTGTGCCGTGAATCATCTCGCCCACCTTGCTTAAGTGTTTTCGGGCACAGCAAAGTGTTTCCGCAACACACCGACCAGTCAGACGACCGAACAATGGCATATGGATGCTTAGAAGGACGTCTCATTGCTCGATTCGCTAAAGTCGCTCGGGCTCGGACGTTTGCAATGTCACAGTTTCTGAAACGCTGGCGAGTGCAACATGACCGTAGCAGTTTTGCTCAAGAAAGGGCTCAGCTCGTGCATACCTTTGGTGCGGAACTTGAAGCAGCTCATGTTGTGAGCCATGCAGTTGCAGCTTTTTGAGTATGGAAACCACCGTCGTCAGGATAATGGCACCAACTGCTGTCCAGTACGAGGACAGCAGCCAGGCACTGTGACAACACGATTTGGGCCATCGTTCGCTTCCAATCTATGCTTATGCACTCCGTCTTTTGTTCCAACCTTGTAAACTCATGGTTCGTAAACTGGGCCAACCATTGACCACCGCGAGGGATCGCGGGATGAAGTATGCAAAAAACAGTTCAGAGCGCTTTGCCCGACTCGTGCCAGGCTGGCCCGCGTACTTTGTACGACAAGATTTGGGCGGACCACTTGGTGAATGAGGCGAGGCAACCTGAGGTTTGAGTGTTGCAGTGTTGCAGGTGAAACGAATACGCGTGTGGTTCAGTCTTATGCAGGCAGATTGTTCATGACCGACAGACAAACATGCTCTCTGTGCCAACTACAGAATTGATCCACGAACAGGTACTGCACTGGCCGGCAAGCTCTCAAACTAAATGCGTGTGTATGCATATTGAAGCATCTTGTTGGTGCTCTCATCATGAGCACAGTGGATGCAAGTAAAGTCCCATGCTACATATGTGCATATAGTGAGGCTTGCAATGTGATTGAACACACACAGACACGCACATGCAGTACCGGTAATCTGTTCCATGGAATGCTTGCACCAAGCTTTATGTTACAGGTAGTATTTAATGTCGCGTTTCTGGATATCCTGTTATGTAGCTGCACATGGTGACCGCTGTTTGTGTGTATATCAATACAAACGTACATATACATGTACACATATATTTAACATGAAGAAATTGGTAATTACATATAAGATTAAGTAAGCCCGTATGTATGTATGCATGTATGCATGTATGTATATGCATCGATATATCTACATATGCATGCTACCCCCTCCAAAACTTACCTCGAAGCCTCCTCTTGTACTTTCTGCGCTACGTTACGACTCCACTCCGAACTAAAGTCTTGTATCCCACAACCGTTCAAACCAGGATAGTGATAGTGAGTGTTGCCTATTCTCCCCTGTCCAAAACGATGCAACCCGCTCAAACCAAGATAATGATGCTAAGTATTGCCTAGCATTCTCTCTCTCTATACAGAGGACATTAGACAGTGCTTCGTGGCGTTGTCTTCGTTCGAATGGTGTTATGTCGTCATAGACAGGGAATACTAAGCAAAATTTAGTGTCTTTATCTTGGCTTGAACGGTTTTGTGTTGTCGCAGACAGGGCATACTAGGCAATTCTTGAACGGTCGTACCTGAGTTTACTTGTTTGAATTGTTATCTACAAGGTATGCTATAATGTATTCTATAAGGTATTCTAAAAGGTATCCTGAAAGGTATTCTAGAGGATATTTTATGAGGTATATTTCAAGTATACAAAGGGCATATTACATAGTCTTCTGTACTGTAAGGCATTCTAATACTGGGTATTCCACATGGTATCCTATAGGCTATAGGGCATTAGAAGGTTTTCTAGAGGGTACTCCATAAGGTATTGTACAAAAGCCCTCTATTTAGTAAGGTATCCTATAGGGTATGCTGTATGAACTTGTTTACGGTATATAGAGGGGTATTCTATAAGGTTGTAAGGCTAAATTTTTCTTGGTTCCAGATTTTTCTTCATAGGAACTCTTACCCAAAAGCTGAAATTCACTTGGGGACATCTCAGATTTTTGGCTCCCATTGGTGTTCATGTTTAAAAACCCTATGTATGAGGCACTTTTTAAGGTTTTCTTTACGGGATTCCAAAAGGTACCCTGTAAGGTATTCTATAGGTATTCTATATGGCATACATAAGGTATCATATATGGGTGGTCTTCTATGAGGTATTCAACATAGTATTCCAGATGGTATTGTATAAAGTATTCTATATTGTAGAAGGTACTCTTTAGGTTATGTATAGGAGTATTTTATAATGCATTCCGGTCTCCATTTATGGTCAGGCGCCTGGCGTTCCCAGCCCCCCCAATGGTATGGTTTGATAGGGTGGGGGGGGGCTGGCGTGTGCGGAAAGGGGCTGGGGGCCGTTGGAGCTGCCGCTGGACGGTGGGGTGGTGCTGGCGGCCAGGGCTCACGCCCAAGCCCTTCGCAAGCAAGCCGTAAACTCTATAATGCAGCGCGTGCCCCTGTTTTGAGCAACCTTAACTTGTACTTGAAACTTAAAACGCTACACCCAACCCTAAACCCCACCTAACTGCAGGCTCTAAGCCTCAAGCAGAGCATACACCGCAAATGCAAACCCTCCCTAAGCCCTTGTCGACTCGAAGCCTCATGCCTTGTAGCCGTAAACCCAAAACTCAAAAGCTTAAGCTAAACCCAAAACCCCACAACCACCCCACAGGGGGAAGAGGCACCCCGAACCCCACACCCCACACCACAGGGGAGGGGGGGGGCCCACCCTATATCCGGACCATTGACCTTTGGGGGGGGAGGGGGGGGGCTGCGGAGCGCGTGACCATATATATCCCTTACTAGATAAGCTGCGATTTGTCCGAGGAGTTCCTAGATCCTGGATTCTGCGTTTCTTTCATATGAATCCCTTACCCACTCGTAACCTGCAATTCAACTGGGGGACTCTGAGATCTTGGGCTCCACCGGATTTCCCCGATATAAACGCTTCTTCTGCGGAATGTTCTATAGAGTCTTGTTCTATAAGGCATATATAGGTGTTACTTTAGAAGGTGTTCTAACAGGTGTTCTATACGTTATGTGCTATGCAACAAAGTATATACTAGGTATATAGGGAGTATTCTACAAGGTAGTACAGTATGTTACATGATTTCTTTAAGGTTTGTGGAAGGGGTTTTGTGTAAGGTATTCTACAGACTATTCTCCTCTCAGATCCTCGGCTCGGACTGATGTTCCAAATTTAGAATCCGTATCTATAGGGTACTCTATAGGGTAGTCGATAGAAAAGTCTGAGAGGTATCCTGTAGGGTATTATATATATATATATATGTATGTAACGTATACCGGGGGTATCATATAAAAGCGGTCTGCTGCAAGGTATTCTACAGGGTAGTCTGCTATAAGATGTATGTAGGGTATATAGAAGGTATTGCATAAAGTATTCTACAGTGCATTCTTTAAGACTCTCTATAGGGCATTCTACAGAGTATTCTACAAGGAATATATGGGTGGTATTCTAGAAGGTACTCTATGATATATTCTATATGCTACAGGGTATTCAATAATCTCAATACTGCACAACACAAAGTATTTGGGGTGTATTGGATAAGGTATTACTCAGGATATTCCATTAAGGTTTGTAGTCAGGTCATTCTATATGGTATGTTATAGGCGTTTCTTCGTGTCCGGCATAGGAATCCCGTGCTCACTAAGCTAAAATTCACCGGGGAATTCTCAGACCTTGGGGTCGGACTGATATTTTCCGGGTACTCTGACAGGGTATATCTCAGGTGACCAGGGGGTGTTATATATATATATATATATAAAGAGGGTCTTCTAAAGGTATTCTGAAGGGTAAGCAAGTGCACGCGAAGTCATGAGCATTGCAGATGTGCGGCAGTCATGCACGTGTCAGCACTCACATGGTCTGAATGCTAATACCTAGCTAGATATGTATCATAAACTCAAAAACAAAACTATGCTCATTTCCACCATATGGTTCAGTGTAAATACTGAATTCTACTAAAAACCGGCTTGCATCACAGACCAGGGATGCCACGGGAATCTTTGATCCATGAACTCTGATCCCTCGCCGGTTTCAGTACAAATATTGAGTTATTCTGAATTGTAAAGAAATTTCGCCCGGATCTGAGATCATGAATCAGAGATTGTGCAGAAACCTTTCCGCGGCATCTCTGATCTCTGATCCCGGCCAGGCTTCAGTATGAATGCTGAGTTATACTGAATTATACTGGGCCCGGCATGCACGGCCCATTTCGGCTTTTCTAGTCATGTTCGTATACACTAACATGTGTGTGCGTGCAATTGTTTAGACATATGGTAGCATACATGCATACAGAAAGACTTGGAGATAGTTTCTTTTTTGAGCGGGGTACCATCCATATATATATATATGCACCTTTCATCCACAAGTTATGCGACCGAAGCAGGCGGTGTTCAGCTATCCGGTTCTTTATTTACAAGTATGGTGATTGTTGCTGACAATGTGAAGGCAGATGGCACAAGCCTGATATACATTGATCGTCACCTTGTCCACGAGGCACCGGCCTGCACCAGCTCCGCTAGGATGTGTGGCAGCAGTGTGGCTCGAGGTGACAAGCCCTCAGGCATTCGAGGGTCTCAGGCTCAGCAACAGGGAGGCCAGCCCCCGCGCCGTCATTAGTGCTCGGATGGGCTGTAACCGGGAACCTCTGAGCAGGTGCGCCGAACAGATTGCACTCTGGCCACAGTGGACCACAATATCCCAACTTCATCGCGGAAGAATTTCAAGGAGCTGTCATCATACAGGCCTGCACTGAGGCCCACAAGCACTTGTGCGCAGGACACCAAAAGCTTCATAGAAGAAGCAGATTCGCGGCAGCAGGCAATCATGTGCTTCTCCTAGAGAGAATGCTTTACGGATTCACGAATCCAGGTTGTAACACTGGAGGACAATGTGCAAGCATTCGGCCGCGACCGCAGCTTCCACTTCCTGCAGACTATGATTTTGATATCACATGTGGCGATTTTTGCAGAGACAATGCCAGGACTTCAATCGCTTCAGTCCAGCTGCATTGCCATGTAATGACTTCCGGCAGGCCTCACCTACTTCGGAATGGAGGACAAACGACAAGGCATCGTGCATGTCATCGGCCCGGAGCAGGCTGGCATGCATCATGCATCTTGCTAATGCTGTAGCTGCATTTGATTTATCACTCGTCGTTCGTCTCTTGCTATAATGTTCTCTGCTCTGCTTCTGGACCAGTCGTGTTTCGCTGGTTGCGATTCCAGGTGCCGCTCCGAGTTCTTGTGTCGATCGCACTATGCAACAGTGATACTTAGTGGTTCTTTTCGCATCAAAAGCTGGCGGAGTCTACTCAAGTGTGCCTTTGTTCCGCTAGCCCTCCAGAACGCAGGGGTTCACACTCCCTGGAACTACGGTGGTTTGCCGTGGCCTTGGACAGTCCGAATTTTCACACGGCGGTTTCGGGTCATGGACCCGAAAGTCAGAGATCTTGTAAACGTCCTAAACGGCACCCGACAAGCCCTTTACGGGTAGATTCTTAAGACCCCGTGTTATGGACAACCGGATGGCGGATGGCCGATATATCCCTCTCCGTGCGGCAAGATCGTCTATTTGCGAATGCGGGATCTTCACATCGCATGAGACAGAAATGACCACGCTTGTGCGAAGGCTGGGTACATGAGTTAACCAGCTTTTGTGTTTCTGATTGTGTTTCGACTACAGAGTAAGGATGGTTTGAGATGGCGACCTTTCCGGAAACAGTGTTCACGGAGATGACAAGCACTCCTTTTGTACTGCACTTACGCAGTCGCTTTCTGCGCCAGTGTGGTATCGCACAGTCAAGCATCACAAAACTGCGTAACATCGTGTCACGAGTGTGGTCTTCTTATAATCGGAGTAGGTAATTGTCGGGATAAATGTAGGACGCTAGTGGTGTTACAGAGGGGCAGCGAATTTCGTTGTAAGTTGTTGCGAATCCGTGCAGATCATCCAAAACAACTGGTCTGATCGCTTAGGGAAGGAAGGGCTGGCCACCTTATCCCATCTGAACCCAGGCCATTGCAAGCCAGCTTGCAAGGCAGTATCCCTTGCATCAGCATCTGGGTAACACCAGCATCTATGCACAATGGACCCTATAGGTGCATTTTAAACTGTAAACTGCGAGCCCGTGAAGCATCTTATGGAGTTCTCGCGCAGATGCCGCCATTAAATGATCACTCCTTCAGCTCGGAGAGGCGCTGAGAATCCTATTCACTGGGAATGGGGCTTCTAAGTCAATCCATCTAATGTGCTGCCCATTCGGCTCATATCATAAACGCATTTCCTTTGAAGTAAGGCCAGGCTGGTGTCAGACCACAGCACAGCCCAATCTTCCTGCGAAAGGAACTGAATTATGTGCTGCACCTGCAATGATACTTGGCAGTGTATTTGACAGGCTTGTGTACTTCCGAAAACTCCTACTTCCTCCCGATTCCTGAAAGAATGAGGTGGTAAACCCGAAACCCTGCAAGGGCAGCAAGTTCCAATCCCCACGCCCGAAAATAGAGGAGCGAAAATCTGAAAACCCCAGACCCGAAGAGGCTGGAATGGGCAACCCTCAACCACCAAAGGCATGAGTCTTGGCAGAGCCTGTATTTTGGGCGACACTGAGCGAACTGGAACTTGGTAAACCCTGATCCCGAAATTTGACAGTAGATGTGCAGATACGTAGGGAGATGTTGCCGGGGTACCGCGAACCGGGAAGCAGATCATGTGGACAACTGGGCTGGGTGGCAGAAGTGCTTTGGACCACGTTTGTGTCCGGGTGGGGCTGCAGCGGCGCAAGAGGGAGCTTCCTGCAGGCCGAAACACGTCAAGATGCAGAGTGGGCCTCTTCAAGTTCCGGGAAGCCTGTTTGACAGCTGGTCAGCTTGTGTTTAGAACGGGACTTGTTGCGGTACATACCCGTCACAAGAACCATCATCATGGCCGGCATCATCATTCTCATCAACATAGTTGCTCGTCACCCGCATCAGTCAGGGTGCGTCACTCACCGTCATCAAAATCACCTCCGCCACCAGGGTAACAATCATCATCGTCGTGATTAGCATCGTCATCATCGTCGTCATCACAGTTATCATTGTCATCCTTGCCATCCTCGCCATGATGATGATTATGATGGTCACCGTCATCATCATCATCATCATCATCATCATCATCAACATCAGCATCAGCATCATCATCCGCATCATCATCGTCGCAATCATAGCCATCATCTCCATGACCGAAACCATGACCATGAGCGTACCATCGCCACCATCATCCTTCATTCATTATTGTTGAGGTGGTACCCATGTGCTTGGGCCAAATTCCGTCGTGCAGCATAAGGTGGCGACAGCCACACTTCAACTCATGGAGCCTTCGGAGCTCTTGCTTTTGGTGCGGATCCCTGCTGTCTTGAAACTGGAGTACCCGGAGCCAGGGTGCAGCCCAGCTCAATTCGGAAGGCATCGGAACATCTGAAGTCGAACATGTCTTGGCAACCCAGACGCTGTGCCGAGCCCGGAACCTCACAGACCATTGCAGCGAGGATATCCATGGCAGACTGCTGGAGAGAGCTGATGCACGGTTGACCGTGGTCAGACCCAAGGCTCATGAACAAGGCAAAGAACATGTTGGAGACTCAGCGAGCTGTCTGGCGGTAAGAAAGGAGCCCATACCTCATGAGAGAAGCTCCGCCTGATGTCGTGACTGAGTAGGTTGAATTGTTCAGTCCCAAAGTGGCCCCTTGCTTCGCTGGAATTCCGACTGGAGCTACGGCACAGCAAAGCAGAGGAAATCCTGAAAGGTTTCACACTTTGGTTTTGCTGAAAGGAACATGCCATGAACAAGCGTGACGAAGCGCAGCGCGAACCGCTACCTGCAGAGCCTTCAAAGCGGCCCTACGAGACGCCGGAAAAGTGCGCTCCGCACAGCTTGACTTGTAGTACGCGTGGTGTAGCTCGTGGTACTCTTCGACGTAGTCTTCCTGGTCGTTGTCGTCGCCGCGTCGAAGTCGCCAAGGTGATCAATGTCGTGATTGTCGGCTTCGTCGTCACGTGGTGTCGGTGGTATTGTGGTGGTAGTGGTGGTGGCGGTGGTGACGGTGGTGCTGGTGGATGTCGGGTTTGTTCCATTTCGTTGCTCGACGCGTTGGTTGCTATGCATGATCAATGATTTGCCATGATGCGGCTTAGGCGAGTCAAAGTTTCTGGCAAATTGGCTGAAGGCGTGACTTCCAAGGACCTTTGCCGCGCAAGATGTCAGACTGCATTTGGAACAGGTTGCAATGTTTTAGCGGCTTTGAGCTGCAGCCGATGCTCACGAAGCGATAATCCCATCATCCTGCCCGTGCTTCCACGCGCTGAACATCACAATCCGCAAAGTGCTCATCACTTTCGGGCACTTTCGACATCACTGCTTCGTGTTTATGGTACTTTCCTGTCTGCAACACTCGACATTCACGAATCAATAGCCCACGGCTGTCTTCCGTCAAACCTCCCGAGAAGTGGTCGGTGTTGTGCCAAGATTTCACGCACTCTTGAAGTTCACATGCAAGCATACAAAGAGAACAAACATGTGCACGGGCACGGATCCGGAAGGGACTTGCATTTTGGGCTGAGGACCTCAAGTGATCGCGCATGAACAACGCGAAAGATTTCTCTGTCTCCCAATCTGGCTTGGTCGAAGTCCAGTCGGCATTTTTCATAAACAACAGTTGAGGCTTTGGAGCTTTTCGGCTTGGCCATTCGAGAAGATCACACTAAGTTCGGGGATGATCCCTTCCTGATCAGATTCACCGACATCCTGCAGACTTGCAGCACGTACTGGATTGGAAGGCAATGCAACTGACAGGCCACACAGACTGGACCCGGAAACACACAAAACAGAGGATAACCACTACAGCTTGTGGTGACGCTTGTCGCCATTTGGAAATCCACAGCTTAGGCCTACTCTCATCCTCGTTTACAGACGTAGGATGTGATCTTGCACATCATCGGCGTGATCGGCACTGCTGGTGGCACTGGCAGCGTCATCGAATTCTGCATCTTGTCATCAACGTCCTGGGTTCCTAGTAGTACTCTTTTGCCCTTTGGATTTTGGGGTTTCGTTATTAAATCAGAATATTAGGAAAAAGTCCGAGGTGGAGATGTCTTCGAGAACATGTCCATGGAGGCGCTATGTCCAGTGCTGGATCGTGAGACCCAAATGCTAGCATACGAGCTGACAGAGAGCAAGAGATGCAAAGCCTTGACAATTCAGAGAGAAAGAAAGAGGGATAGAGAGATAGAGAAATGGAGAGATGGAGAGATGCAAAGCAAAAGCAGAAAGAGAGAGACAGCGAGAGAGGGCCCCAATTGCCTGGCGAGGGACTAAGGAACTAGCCATAGTGGGCGCGGTGATGAGGCCCGGATGCGGGCTAGTGTTCGGGGTTTGGGTGGGTCCCTGCCAGGCAATCTCCACAGGCCACACCGACCATGGGGGAAAAGCCTCCTAATATTTTGACCCCAATGCCCCTTCTTCCACAACCGCGGAAGAGACGGGGGGGCCTGGGCCCGGGTCCAGTGCGCTGGACTTAACCCCGGAGAAGCGAAGCGAAGCGAAGAGAGGCCCCAGAGCATGTTCGTGGTTGAAGGAGACTCCATCATCATCCAGCTTACTGACAGTGAGTGGAGGCAAGCAGCCTCAGCAGCAAGAGCACAGGAGAGCGGAGCGTAAGCCTTCGGAAGCTAAGCCTAGACAAGCCCCAGCCGCACCTCGTGAGGCAGCAACTGACGAACAAGACGGTACACACAGCCAACCATCCAACACGGATGCCACGAAGGCAGATAGCACAACCACCCACGGGGGAACACCCCCCTCCAAAGCTCAGAAGCAAGTGCACTTCGCAGCAGACGTCAAAGACCCTCCTCCGAAGGAGAAAAGCAGAAAGCCTGCAAACAAGCCGAAGCAGCCTCCATCACAGCCACCACAAGCTCCGCGGGACTTCAGTGCATTCGTGGACAAGCGAGACCTGAGAGGGAATCGTGGTACGGACAATCAGGAAGCACCACGTGAAAGGGGGCGACCAGCAACACCCGCGACACCAACAGGCCCCTTCGCACAAGTTCGTGATGGCAGAGACATAGGGGGCAAAAAGAAGAAAACCACAACCACCACGACCACCACGAGCGGCGATGTCGCCGTCCACCCTACGACCACCAGTACCACCGGCATTACAGTGGAAAGGACGACCGCGAGCACCTCCACCACTACCACAAGCAACCCAAACATCACCACCCCAGATAGCGACGAGTTGAACTTTATGCAACACATACAGCAAGCACTGCAGCGAGGCGCAGCCCCACTCCCCCAGAACGCCCAACAGCCACAACCGCTCACAAGCGGGGATCGACAATTACCGGCAACTATCCCAGACAGCATAGCAGAAGTTCCAGTTGCGCAACATCCACAACCACCACAAGCAACCTATACACCTGCTACGAGCACGGACCGCATCGAGCACTACCTCACCCGCATATACAGCCTTTCAAACCAACTTCGCCGGGGGAACATGGTAGCTCATTTAGCCCAGTGTGCCCTGGCCGATTTGCCCGTCGACAGTCAAACTGAGGCCGAAGTGCTCCGGCACCTTGAGCTTGAATCCATGCCCCCCCCGAATGTGACGGGGGAACCAGGAGCAAAGCGAGCAAGGGTCGACACGACCTCCACGCCGACCCAACAAGCCCTGCAGCGCATCCGAGCCAAAGCAGTGCAGCGCTTGAGTGCGGCAAGCAACCATGAGTACATCACCTACTACGACATACAACATGACGTGGATATAGTGCTAACTTGGCTAAATAACCACATACACGCCATGGCAAGGCAACCCGCAACAGTGGGGGATGCTAGCGACGGGACCTCACTATGAGCGGGGGATCCAAAACACCCGCACGGTGCTGGGACAAATGGGCACGGCTCTACAGGGAGTCCAGACCGCTCCGCAAAACCGCGACCACTGGCTTCTGCTCGCAGATGTTGCAAGCTACTTGGCAACCGTGGAGCGCGGGGAACCAGTGAGCCACCCCGCAGACGTGATCGCCGCCAACCGGGGGATTTTTGCTTCGCACCTTGCCCGTGAACGGCGACAGCGTATTGCCACTGGAGTGGTCCTTCAACTCCGAGCCCTTCGCGAACAGCTGCAAGACTGGCCAGGGGGAGAGCTCAACACAGTACATAGAGCCCTCCTGGAGACCTTGGAAGCAGTCGAAGAAGCCCTTCAGCCACATGTACCAGAACCCCTTGAAGCCGCTCCTCTACACGATCAGGGGGAAGCCCAATGCAATGGTGGGGGAGTACCACATCCAGCCTTTGCCAATGTGGCCATGTCCTCCACAGACGGGGGAGGCTGGTGCCTTGCTGAACACCCACGTCGGCGACTCCATGGTGCCTTCTACGGGCGACATGGACCAATCTGAGGGGGATGTAGGACAAAAGCCACACTTCCGAAGCGATATCTTACTAGCCTGATCTCATGAGAGTTTGTAGTCATGCGTTATTGCTCTTTGCTTCTGTTTCGGGGGAAAGATCGGGAGCTGGCATGGTTAATCGAGCACACTCTGCCAACTGGTAGTTTCATCCAACATTTTGAGGTAGTGTACTCACACAAATCGCCATCTTAGCCTAGGTTCCACCGCCTTGAGCATTAGTGTTGGCATTGTACTCCCGCATCGTATGACATGGAACCCAGATTGGCGTACAAAGGTAGCCTTGCCAACTTGTCATGTGGACAAAAGGGGGAAACTGCACCGGGTTCTCTTCCGCATGCTATGCTTCACTAGATTCTGTATATTTATAAATGACCCCAGTCCACTACAGAGCTCATTGCAGTCGATAAGATGCACACGTACGACATCCGACGTACCTCTCTCCCCAAAGATGTGGATGATGTTTGATTTTATCGCATGTTCCTGTTTTTTTTCCAGTCGAGGGAGAGGGGTAAACGAAGGAAGACCACCTAGGCAGAGCACTGACTTTTCGCACCAATGGTTCTGGAAGTTCAACTGTCTCGCATGTATGCTTATCTGTACTTCACCTTTTATGTTCTTCTGACATTGCAGAAGGAAGAGACGATCCAGAACCAGAAGCCGTAATGGCCAATAACCTCCTTCGCCCTGATACTGCAAAAAACTTGTATGCAAGGGGCAAACTGGCATAAATCATTCCGGGCAGGTCTTCCTCTAAAAGCTGTGATGTTATTCTTGGTCTAAATTAGTACATCCTGCTTGTTGTGTTCCACGGGGGAAGAAGCCATAGTGAATGATCGCCTGGCCCCAGAGATAATGTGATCGTATACTAGCTTAGATTTGTTATTCGTGTTGCTTTCGTGAATGCGACATGGGCCAAGGGAGATCATAAAACAGAAGATAGACAAAGAGGGGAAAACCTTCTGATGCCATAGCTTGTCGTATTAGCTTGTGGTGGCCTCATGAGAACTTGCAAACCTCAGTCTATCGATGGTGCAGTAGCTTCGCAAATACCGTATGTTCCCCTTTCAGGACGAACCTTTAGTCCTTATGCCTAGCTTTGATACTTTCGCCTTCTCAGTCCTGATGTTGGGGAAACCGGTATTGCAAGAGTGTCCTTGAAAAGAACATACAACATCGTCTTTCTTTAATCTACCAATTGAAGCTTTAGCGCATACGATGTTCATTGTTCTCTCGTCACCCCCCGAGTCCGTCAATACGACGGGTGGGCATGATGCCCGGGGGCGCTAACCCGCCCTCATGCCCGGGAGAGAGAGAAAGAGAGAGAGAGAGAGACGCGAGAGCTGTTCAGGTTGTCTGCCGTAGATCCGGTCAGAGTTCATTTCGATTGCGATATGCATGACCTCCACAGCCTTGGCAGGATTGCTTGTTCTCTATCGCACTCGCAAGAAAAGGGGAACCCGTTGTTGCCTTTCGACTTCCCCCAGGGCGGGAACTTTCCTTAGTGTATCATAGTGTACGGCTTTGCATTTAGCCGTTCTTTGTCTTCGGGTAAGTTTCCTCAATCGATTCTGCCACTATGCTGTATCCTTGCATGTCAATGCAGCCGCCGGCCAGTAGGCTTAGCCTCGCATCCTATAGGTTGTAGCAGGGTCGTTGCACGCGCAGTGCTCGTGAAATCCTTGCCGACTACCTCAGAGGGGGAAGCAATGTGCCCGGGAAAACATTCGCCTTTATGGCTTGTTGTCTTAGTCCTGCCAATTTCATAGTCTTGACTGTAGCTACCGGGGGTGCAGCTGTCCGGGCTCGTGGCGAAGTGCTCGGACGGAAACAGTGCAGCCACTGGGTGCCGCAACGGCCAGCTGACCTGATAGGCGCGGATGTCAGTGTGCAATATGACCATTGAAGCTGGGGCTCGGCACCAGCCCAAATCTGCTTAGAAGCATCGCACTCGGACTAGTTCAGTGCTGCCCTAAGGGCGGGCATGGTGGCTCCAGATGACACTACTTTCAGCTATCTGAAAGGAAGGCGCGGGCCCGAAATCTGCGATGCACTGAAGGGTTTTCGTTCACCTGCCAGGCCCTTGTGCCCCAAGGGAAAAGACTGGGACAAGGCCGGTGACTGCCAATTGGGGTCATGTCGTGAGCCAACATCCCAGGCAGTTGAGTACTGGAAAAGCCTACGCACGGACAAGGGGGCGAAGTGCTCCTGATCACATGTGGAACTTGGCAACAGGAGAAGCAGGCTGTGTCTGAGCTCATCAGGTTTGACAAAGAGATCAATATCGATGCAGCTGACATTGCTCCGACAGCTCCTTGAATGCAGCAGGCTTCTGTGGCAGAGATGGAGTTTAAAAAATTGTACATCTCTTGTGCCATGATCCAAGGTGACGTGGGGCACAAGCCCTGAAGATGTCGTGGCCATCACAGGAACAGTTCCGGATCCCAAAGAGGAGCTTGCGCCGTGCATGCACAGTCTCTTTCACCGAAATCGATGCAGCCCGATGTCGAGGCCAAGGATGAGACGAAGAGGACCCTGCTATCGGTCGGTCGGCGGTCGCAGTGCAGAGTGTCCAGTGTATGTTTTGTGCATGGAGCTTCTTGCTTTCTAACCTTCGCCGAAGCCCAAGCCTGCAGAGCACATGCTCGAGCCAGGGTGTGTTTCATGACAAGACCGTGTGAGTCATGTATGCCAGCTGTCCCGGGTGTAGAATCCAGCATCTCAGACGGAGCTGCTAGCTGCTAGCTGCTAGTTCCCATCGGCGCAGCTTCTGTGCTTTGGTCCTCAGTCCCCGCGTAGGGAGTTCGCAGACTCGTAGACTCCAAATCCATCTGCTCTGCAGGTTCTTCTGCATATTCCACCAATCTTCTTTCGACTTCGAAATGCAAACCTTACACTTCGCATGCCCCAGAAACCGGCTGCTGGGGCAAGACGGACTATTTCCCAGATTGTTTGTGAGTCCAAGACCGTGCGATCTTTACACAGTTGCGATGGTTCTAGCTCTGCAGGTGGCAAATGCATTGTGCGTTCAGGAGTGGAATGCAGCGTGCTTTGCAGTACATGGGTGCGTCCCTTAGGAGCCTTGGCAATCCTTGCAATGTGGAGCAGTACAGTCTCTCCCGCAGAAGTCTCAGGCTTGGAGCCTGGAACCAATATGCAGGACATCTCCATCCAGAAGGTTCGGAATCTTAGGACCAGACACCTCCGGAAGTTCTGCTGGAACAGGTGTTCATAGGATCCTGCACGAACAGCCGCATAGAAGACATGCGCCAGTTGCTGAGGGAGGCAAGTTTGGTAGTGCCATGGGCAGTTTAACTGCCTCGTGCTGAGGCAGCGTTGCTGCCGTGGTAAAGGGCAGGAAGGCGGGGCTCCAAATCATTTCGTTGCGGTTTGATGCCAAGTCGTGTCTGCTTGCAAAATATCCTTTCATCCCTTTATGTGGGCTCTGAGAGACACGAGCATCTCGAAGCAGCAACAGACAAAAAGTGACAAACTGTGACTTCCACCAAGTCCATTCCAGGATATTCCAGGGCACTGTTCAGTGCCATAGCACTCCTTCTGTCGAGAATCAAGACAGGCTGTAGGCCCTCCAGAGTGTTTGCCTGCACTCCATGCCTTTGCGCACGTGTTCCTGATGGCAACGGCCTCGGGTGATTGGAATACCAGCGCAGCATGGACGCGTGTGTGCCTTGAAGCTGCCGACGTGCATAAGTTGATGCCCAAGTCAAGGCTGTGACAAGTCTGGACAGCTTTCGCCTAAAGGCTCGCATTACGCAGGCCCTGGTTTCCTCAGATTCGGCCGTGTTGTTACGACACTGAAGGACCCCTTGGATTGGACGCCGTGCACCCAGACTTCTGGTGGTGAATAAAGTCCGAAAGCTTTTAGCAAGGCCCAGTGAAGTTGCTGATTTCCTGGCATCTATTCTGCCCGGTGCTTGTTCACGAAAGGCTTTGCTTTGTGAATTAGCCTTGTCATGCGCAGCATTGGCAATGACTCTAAGTCCTGGACATCCATGCCTTGACTGCTTTACCTACACATCTGGCTATGCCTCGGCCTTTGGATTTTGCACTCTCTGCATGGGACAGAGACTCAGAGAGTGCAAGCTGCGAACTGGCCAGGTCTTGTGCTCGTTGGAGAAGGACGACTTGCGCAGGCAAGCCAAGAACAACGAGGCACCCGCCTGGCAGAGTCAGAACACATGATTCAGTATAAAAAGCAGCAGAATCGGTGTCGATTTGGTGAGGCGGCCAACGTGATTTGGACGGAGCTCGCAAGCAGGAGAAAGGGAGCCCAGGCCCGACCAGATCGAAGATATTCGCAGATTGCCTCGGGAAGCCGCGAATGACGAAAAGTGCAGGCAACCGGCACGAAGGCCTCGGGACAGTGGAATCAGTCGGTGAAGTTACGCTTGCATGTCTATGCTCAACATCACATAACGGCGCCGGTGACGGTAGACCGCACCCTGCCTCCAAGGCAGTTGTGCAGCGTGGCGGCGTCGATCCTCGCCCGAATCCTGGACGTGTGTGACCTTCGTCGGATGTTTCTGGGATCTGAGCGTCGTGCGTTGTGGGCAGCAGAGAGGAGGAAGGGCGAGGAGAAGGGAAGAGAAGTGGAAGCCTAGTCAGTGAGTCGGATCGCGGAACAAGCATAGCGTCCTGTGGAGCGCATGAAGCGGTTGCACACGCACGATTGAAGCCAAGAAGAGCACCATAGCCATGTGCTACGACGGGACGACCAGGCGAGAAGTCGTTGTAAGAGTCTGGGGAGGGAGGTCGCACATGACTATCCAGCTGAAGAGAGCCAGCAGAAAGGGTCGAGCTTATCTTGAAGAGGCCTTGCCCTAAGCCTTAAGCTTTGCTAAACTGATCAGAAGGTTGGCAGGATCAGAAACATGTAGTGCCACAACACGACCAGATGCTTCTGCGTGCTGTCTGCATGTGAGGATGGGAAGGGGGGTCACGGACAGAAGCAGGTGACTTGGGAGATAAGCTAACAGCGCGGTTGATTTAGGAAGACCATGAAGCGGTTGGCCGAAACCAGCTTTAGAAGACAGAGGAGGACTGTGAAAAGGAAGAGAGAGAGAGAGAGAGAGAGTTCCCTCAAGCCCAGGAGAGAGAGAGAGAGAGAGAGAGAGAGAGAGAGAGAACGTCCAGCTGCCCCGCGAAGCGAATAGGGGGTGTGCGCACGCGTACGGGGGGAGGGCCCTGAACGCTGGCCCGACCTCCAAGCCCGGAAGAGAGAGAGAGAGAGAGAGAGAGAGAGAACGTCCAGCTTGCAAGCTTTGACGATTCGAGGCAGCATGTTTACCCTCTATGTCAAATTGGCTCGGCAGGTGCAATCCTTAGAGGCTGATAACTGATCGCGCAGTGATGAACATAGAACTTCCGACAAGCGATGTCATGTGAGTGACGCAACTGCCAGGGTTCTGCTCTGGAGTTGGAAGTAGCTCCAACAGACAACGTGGCATACCTCAAGGTGCGAGGGAAAGGAGGTTTCACTGCAGTGATATTGCAGGCACAGCACTGCTACCAGGCCCAGATCGCAGTACACGAGGGAACGCCGCCCGAGAGCCAGCGGCTGGTCGTCGCCGGTGCCACAATGCAGGAAATCTCGTCGGGAATGCTGAACTTTCTGCAGTTCTGCGGCCTTACGAACCACGAGACAGGACGAACGATCACTGACTAGTTACGGGCCCGAGCCTTGGGCGTGGCAAAGAAGGGCGCCCAGATGCCGGACCGTGTGACTTTGTAGCTGAGTTAATGAACCCTGCCGGTAGCCTCAGTCTGAGTCTTACTTCCTGTAGCTGGTGTAGGCAGGCCATCACGAATGCAAGGCTACCAGAGACATCGGGACGTGGACTGTCCCCCCTAGCTCGATCCACAGCAAAGGTCAAGCACGTGACGTGCGTCTGCTGCCATCAGCAATCTGCTATAGCGATGAATGATCACGGATTTCATTCTGACTGTGCTGAGCTCTCTCAGGCATTTCTATCCGCATCCAGCAGTGCGATCCGAGGGTCATTGTTCAATATGATCCATGGCCGAGGCTTCATCACGGCGATTCAGTGCTGCTTGTTCCATGTCTGCGAGACCAGGCAGGAGCTCCAACTCCAAGCCCTTTCAGCTAAACTGTTGATATCCACAAGTTTGTGGCGGCGCAAAGGAGACCGTTGAATGGAAACGGTGACAAGAGTTGGAAATTTGAATCACAGTCACAGGTGGGGAGTTGAATCCCTGTGAACAGCGTGAAACGAACAATGCGCGGCAGCAGTACAAGAGACAGAATTTGGGGGCAGGACAGGGAGTGGCGGATGAACAGCAGAAGTATGCATGGAACAAACACACAAGCACGGCCCCACCCTCACCCACCCCACCACCCATCCAGTCCACCCCATCCCCCACCCCATGAGATATCACCTGGGTCTGTAGACTCGCAAAGAGTTCGCAAAGGTACAGGCATACAAGCAAGGCAGAAGTTTTTTTCTACAGGCTCGCTGCTAGAACCTTGAGCAGCAAGCATGGATACATGCATGTGACTCCTGTAACAAACAGGCACCTGGATGTGTAACACGCAGAACTGCATGGCCGTGGTATCGGCATTCAACCATGCGTGCTTTGTGCTCAAGCGATTTCAATCGCGGAGTGTTGAGCTACTGACTGCGACATGTGAGACTGGAAATGTCTCAGCCTGGAGAAAGCAGTGTGCAAAGAGAGGGCAGAACACCACACGAAACGCAAACGGATCTTCAGCTACAAAACTCTGTGAGAAATATGCCCAGGCTTGAACAGTTCCCTTTGCATATGGAAAGCTTACTGAACAAAGATGTGAAGCTTTGCTCCACTTGATGTCCAGCATGGCATCATTGCGGTTTCGAAGAAACCGCATCAGGCTCTGTGACGGGTATGTTCTCAGCGGGAAGTATCTCTTGTTTTTTTTGCAACACGTCAAGAAGTATTTTTTCCAGCGAAACGTGTCTTCTCAGGAAGGAAAGGTGCAGTGGCGAAGGATACGCCGCAAGGGCAAAAGCCAAAGGCAGAGGACCCGCAGAAAAGCCTTTCTTCAAGAAGAAGAAGCACAAGAAAGGCAAGGAACATGGACACCTTGCTGATGATCAGACAGATGCTTGGAAGGCTGATGCACAATGGCAGGATAGTCAATGGCAGGTCGCATCATGGGATGATTGGTCTTGGGATTACTCCGAGGAGTCCTACGCAGCCAAAGGCAAAGGAAAAAAAGGCAAAAAGTGCAAACGAAAAGGCAAGTATGGCAAGGGCAGTGGCAAGTCCGACGGAAAGGACGGTTCAGTCCAACTTGCAGATTCTGCCCCGAGCCGCACCACTGCTGCGACCACCTATGTGGATCATATGGAACCTTGGAACTTTTCCTTAATGGCCACCGAAGAGAAGAACAAGGCATTCACCGTCCAGTCTTCGACACCAACATCAATGGTCCTGTACGAGGGCGATGGCTTCATGGGTGGCAGCGCAGGACTTGATGAAGGTCTGCGACCAGAATCTGGACTGTGGCATTTGGCACCACATTGTTGAGACCATTTCTCAGTTCACCTTTGCCAAATCAGAGTCGACCAAGTTCAACCAGAAGCTCGTGGTTTGCATGTACGAACGCGAGTATGCAGTCCAGGGAGTTCGACATCGTGGAGCAAAGTCACGTTCCAATCCGTATGTCCTTGCCTCAAATGCGCAACCTGAGGTTCCAGATCGAACTCCATCCAGACAAGGTGTTGTTGATCAGTCCAGTTTGGGGGATTTGGCATGTGAAACTGAGGGTTGCAGGTAGTTCACATCCCGTAACTGATCTATTAGATCTTTGACGTCTGATGTGGAATGTGCGTTTCGACAAGCACAAGAAGTCGAGCTTCCTCATCTACTTCTCCCAATACACAGTATGTCTTCCACCAGAAGACTTCAGGAAACTCTTCACTGAAAGGAGTGCCTGACGTGTTGTCATACGTCATACGCCATGGACGATGAGTGGGTGATCAATGAACGTCCACAAGAATATAAGGAGAGAGAAGTACACCTTAAAGGACACAACAACTGGAGTTCCTGGACACCAAGCGCAAGACGATCATGGAGTTCTCCAGGGACAAGCTGGAGACGAAGGAGGATGATTGGAAGGTCGCCGGGCGTTCTACTGCGAGGTCTTCAGGGCCTTGGAGGTGTAAGACAGTTTTTAGGACGCCTGCTGGAGGAAAGCCGAACTTCGCTTCCGGCTAAGTCCGTTGATCCCATGCCTGATAAGGTAGTGCATCAGCCGGGCTGGAACACCTTTCCTGACATCGATCCGGTCGTCTGCTCTGTTTTCGAGTGGAGCGATAGCATGGGCGATGACTAGTGGGCGAACATGTTTGCGTCACAGTCCGAGTACAAAATCTCTGTTTCGGAATGGCTGCTGAACAGTACAAGTTCGGCATACCTGTTAAGCGACAGAGAGTATGATTCTCACACGCCGCTGTTGGTCGAGGTGAGAGCACCCAGTACTCCGGACAGTGTGCTTGGCCATGAACAAGAAGCAGCAGGCAAATCGACAGCGTGATCTCGCCGCCTGCTGCAAACGCAGCTCCTTCTCCTGGATCTCAGCGTCCTCCAGAACCAGCCAATCCTCCTCGTGGAAAGCCATCGGAGAAAGGCTCTGGCAAAGACAAATCCTCCAAGGGCAAGCCTCGCATAGGCAAAGGCAAGGGAAAGAACTGATTAGAGACCGACGAACTTTTGGCAACGGAGGACACTCCTCGGGACTTCTGTTTCGACCGACACCAATTGTTGGCTCAATCCATCGCCTCCTCTGGCGTGATCGTTGCCCGCTCTTCCGCTGGGAGGTAGGTGACGTAAGCTCTGACCTTAGCATTGTTGGGATCCGTGAGGAAGGTAGGTGCCGTTTCAAGCTTCCTGCATGCGGTTCACAGGGAATTGAAATCCTTTAATCCATTGGAGCACTGAGCATGTCTCCATTTCCGTGATGTTAGTTCATGAACTGTTAAAGGCCCCGTAGAGGACACATCGGCCGCACACTTGACGAACAGCGGCCAAAGAAAATTGAAAAAGTACTGAACTCCGCTGTTGGGTCCTTCAGGCGGTCTTGCCAAGAAGACGCTTGTGAATCGCTGCCTCGCCTTCCACTCTGTTCCTCAAATCACACCTTTGTGGTCACCTGTTGGAACGTTGAAAATCGGTGCATCTCGTGCAAATGCCTCTGATTTCTCGCAGGAGACTCATGATTCTGAAAGAGGCAATCATCATCTCCTTCACCATGTTCACACGGCGCGGCAACGTGGCTATCCATGGCTTTGTCCTCGGATCGTGCCCCGGGGATATCTCCTCCGGTCGTCTTCACCTGCGCGAGGTATACCGGAGAGACTCCGCTCACTTTCACAAACGTGAAGCACTCCGGGTGTACCGGTTGCTTCCACCTGCATGAAGCATACCTTCAGTACCTCCACAGGTGTGGAGCTTCCGTTTTCCCGGGAGCTTGATAGTAACCTGGGCGTGTACACCCTCGCAGAGGTACAGGCCTACTCGCAACGCAAAGCCTCTTTTTGCACAGGCCCACAGTCACAGCTCTGGTCGATAGATACTTTGCTAGAACCTTGAGCCAGAATGGCTACATGCATGTGACACGTGAAACAGACAGGCACCTGGATGTGGAGCACCCCACCCCCCCCGCCACGCATCCCACCCACCGTGCCCCAACCCACCCAGCCCAACCTATGTTTCGAACGTCCAACTCTACATGTGTTGGGGCCTATGAAGTGCCGGGATTAGCTTTGAGATTGGGGCGTGTAAAAGATTCATGCGGTTCTGCTTTGGCAAAAAACTCGCCATCCCAGCTCACAAGAATCGTGGCACACGGACAATAATCTGAATCTGGCAACGCCTGTGCGTGTAATATAAACATGAGCAGGACAATGTTTGTTTCAATCTGCATCCCTCAATGTCTGGGCGTGCCCATGCGCAGATCCCCAGAGAGAATCGGATATCCACGCAGAAATGCGCAACTTTTCCCTGAGACGCAGATCCTCGTAGTGCTATGGGAGGTTCGGCAAAGACCAGCATGCTTCGCTCCGCGGGGCCTCTTGGCTCTTCCGGGCAGCAAGGCCTTGCCTCGCTTTTGCGGAGCATTTTCTTTTTTTTAGAATTTGCTTGTTGCTCTATCTGATTATCTGGCGCTCTTAGTCTTTTTGACAGTGGCCGCCACGTCTCTTTTCTCAATGCAGGCCTGGTCACCCTCTTCGCGAGCTCCGTTCCTGCCCGTCCTTTTCGCCGATGCTCCTCCTCTGCAAAAGCTAAGACGAGAGTGACCGCCATGACGATCGCATTCAGGTCTCGCGAAATTTCCCGATCAGCCTAGAGTTCACCACCGTCGCAGACTGTGAGGCCACCTTGACATAGGACGGGAAGGCAAGGGGGAACGAGCAACATGCCCGAGTTGTTGTTTGTGTCTGCATGATTCCCTTGCATGCTGTGATGTGCATGAATGTCAACAGTATTTCCATGTGCTTTCACCATGCCAAGCTACTCGTGGACGCCTTCAATGAACCTGCGCACTTGAGAAAGCGATCTCGCATGATCCACTGAAGCACTGGCTTCCTGAAGACTGTTCTGCTTGGCTCAGGCTTTCGCAGAAGCGGCTAGGTATGCCTGGAGCCTGGTTCACATTCGCCACATGATCCTGACATGGTGCCTTTGTGCAGATGCCACCGGCACCCCCTCGGTCTCGACATGTTTTCCGTCCTTCGAACAGCTCCATAGTTTCTGGCCTTCAAGGCACCACCCTGGCTGGAGATATTGCAGCGCACCTGGTGAATAAGAGCTGTTTGTTGCTCACGAAAGCATCCTTTTAGGAGCTTGCTTGGTGGGCGGGTGTGATGAAAGCAACCCTTGAAGGCATGCAGCCGTTGGAGTCCCGATTCTCCGACCCCGAGGTAGAGTCATCGCACACACTGCACCTGTCAGTTTTGTTTGTCAGGAATATTGAAAGCTTCTTCAGGAAATTGTTGAACAGGGCAAGGTTTTGCTAGAAACATGGCAACGTTTAGTTAGGAATCACGCATGAGTTTGGGGCTTAGGGTTGAGGGTTTAGCGGTTGATGGGTTTAGGGGTTTAGGGTTTAGGGAGTTAGGGTTGTGGGGGTACAGGGTTTAGGCCCATCCTGCTAGATTTGCGCAAACCAATATTCCTGACAAGACCTTTGCAAGCTTCCTGACGAAACCTAGTTCATTGCTGACAACACCCGTATGGTTCGCGACAAACCCTTTTCAATTTCTGACACTTAACGGGCGACATAGCCAACACCCCCCCCCCCGGTTCAGAGCATGGGGTGACCACCAGTTGGAGGATCGTGAGTGGTTCAGAGACTGGCCCACCTATTGGGTCATTGTTTTGTGGCCCAAGCTTGTTCTGCAGATGCCGGACAACCAATGTGCGCTGCTTGTGCCGCCCGTCACGCGTGTCGTAGCGCTGTTCTCCAAGTTTGGGCCATGTGACACTCGAGTAGTTTTGGAAAGCTTGTCCAGTCGATGTCGAGTTTTCGGACCACAGCTTTGTTTACTCTTCACTCAAGGGCAGCCGGCAAAGCTGTGGGAGGATGCTGGTATATAAAGTCCGGTGGGCGAGGGAGCGCCTCGCTAAGACCCGCAGCATCGTTTTGGGTGGGGGGGTCCGGAGGAGGGCGACGGTGCAATCTCCCCAAACCTCCTCAGACGGTTCTGAAACCCGATGAAGTTGGGGGCTTGAGTCCTGAGGCCAGGCGGTCCTGGCCGGCCGCCGGCAGAGGCCGCCAGTGACAGCTGCGTTACACTCGTGTGTTCGCTTAAGATGGTTTTGATTCTGAGGCCAAGTGCAGATTGGACCCTGATCATGGGACCGTGATTTTAGAGGCAATCGCAGCACGGACATGGGCTGGGCATAGCGAGGCCCTTGGGACAGAAACTAGCATTTCTTGTTCAGGCAACGAGCGGCAGAGTGTTTGGACCAAGCACGAGTTACAAGGCGATTCAATGGGATTCGACTAGTATTGAAATTAGATGCCATGTCTGCCAGGCTGTTGCCCATTTCGGTGGCCGAGGAGGGCAGGTCGAGGCAAGGAAAGGCAGGAGGTAGATCACTTAGCACGAGTTTGACGGACATCCCCATGCCCAGGTTTCTGTGGTGACTGGTGCTGCAGTGTCTGCATGCTGAACAACAGCACGGCTGCTAATATCAGCCATGGCACGGATACAATTAGTCACTCAAGATAGTTTGGGTAGGAAGTGATGCCAAAGGTTACAGGTTTGGATAAATTGTCGAGTTGCCGGTCAACGAAGCTCAGAGAATCTGAGTTGCAGTGACACAGCCGGCCCACAGCAGGTGAGGGGACCCGGAAGGACATGATATCAGACCTCCTGTGGATTCCTGGCGATCGTCATGAGTCTGGTATATGCTTTGCGATGCAACGTGGACATGGACCAAAAAGGTCTATCGTCCGTGTCTCACTTCAGGTGGCACTTCGACGATTTATGTGTTCTTCCCATCCGTGGCATGAGAGTTCACCGTGTCACCAGTTGCGGGCTTGCCATGTGCAACACAGCTGGGCATCCCCACGAATCTTCGGTCCTAGACTAGTTCCGGCTTGAGTGAGCGCACCGGAGGAATTCTGCATCAAACACAAGCTCAAGCTGCAGCGCAAAATACTGCGTTCACATGGCTTCTTATCCAGCTGTGCCTTGCGCGGTGAGCTTTGGAGGTGGCTCCCGGCGTGGACGCCATGATCGTACCTGGTTCGGGGTTGGCCGCTGCCCGTGACTTCAACAACGCCAGTCTCTTGGTTCCTTTCTTCGACGAAGGTCAAGAAACAAGCAGAGGCCGAGGGGCTTGACAAGATTTTCGTAGAGGCAGGCATCGACTGCGTAGGTGCCATCCTTCAAACGGTTCGTTTTACCAGGCTGGCTTTGACTGGCGGGAACCTGGCTGTTCCATGTGCCTGGGCATGAACCCGGATCGTCTCAAGCCACAGGAGCCTTGCAGCAGTGTGTCTCGCCCTTTCTCTCTGAGCTGATGCGAGGAGCGCTGTGCAGCCACTTCAAACAGAAATTTCGAGGGCAGACAGGCAGGACTTGGCAGGACTTTGGAGCCCTGAGTCCGAACTGAACACTGATGCGTGTCAGGGACCGCAGGGTCGCACTCACCTGATGAGTCTGTGCCCAGTGCTGGTGTGTAGACTGTCGTCTTGTCTCGACCTTCGCAATCTCAGGCCCTGCAATGGCGGCAGCCGCCGCTGTCACTGGAAAGCTCAAGGAGACTGGGGAGACCAGGGATTGGTCGGGTAACCATCGAATCCCTCGGGATGCCCAGACGAGTCTTTGCTTTCCAGGACGTCCGAGAGCTATTGCCAGAAATGCAAGCCGCAAATGGCTAAGCCAAAGCAGCACCAGTGAGGGGGGCCAATCGAGCGTGGATCTCTCCTCCGCCATCCAACTGAGCTGACCGAGGCAGCCAAGACACACGAAGCAAGCAACAGCAAGGATTTCTGTTTCTTGTTGCTTCCTTATCGACCTTGGATGTCTCAATGTCTCTTACTTGCAGGATTTCTATTCCGATCCGATTGAATGGAAAAAGACACAGGAGGCAAGCGCATGGCCTGAGGGGCTTGGCTTCACTCTGAGGGGCGGTTTTTTAGGAGCCGTCCGAGCAAGCCAGCGGCATGGCGGGTGGGAGCCTCGGACGGTCGGATGTGCCCTCCTTCGCCCTTCAGAAAAACCTGGCGCAAGCAGCCTCGCTGAGGTGCGGGCACAAGAACGGCAGGCGCGGCTCCTGCCTCCGCAGGGATGCCGAAATTTACGAGGTACGCTGCGGATCGCTGTTGCATTCTGTTGCATGTAACGCCGGAAGCCCTCCTCTGGGGTCGGCCTGCAGTTTGGACGATGTTATCGCCTGCCCGTTAAGAAAAGCGAATGCCGGCAACTTGATCACCTTTTGCATCCGAAGTGCCATGCGACGTTTCTGGTGCTCAGGTCGACACGGATTGCATCATTCCGAAGCAGTTCTTGAACCTTATCTCATCCAAGCAGGTTTCCGGCAAAGTATGCCACTTCTGAGAAAGTAAGTCACTAGCAGCACGAGCAGACCCTTGCTTACTCTATACTTTTCGCTTTGCGCGCGCGAGAGCCATCGAGTGTTAAGCGTACCCGTTTTGACTCCTACTCTGCATCTGAGAAGAACACGGGTGTTTGAGATATCTGACTCTGTATTGGCATTTCTCGGTACAGCCGCTCAGCTGCTGTGAAATTCTATACAATCTCGGAGCAGCATGCGCACAGAGACAGAAAATCAAGTTTTGAATGTTGAAAGGCTCAAGGAAAATTTTGAGCAGGTGTGATTGCATCTGGAAAAGCCTGGGTAGCACGCCCGGGACGGCCGGTGTTAGATGAGTCAACCTGTTTCTCATGGAAGCGGGCGCAGCCAGTGTAGTGCAAATTGTTCGTGGGCGCTTGGATTAACTATGGGGGGTTTGCAAATGGGTTCATGCACAGTTCCCGAGGCAAAGAGACAGTTCCGGAAGAAAGCCTGAGTGTGAAGCTTTCGACAGAACTGATCCGCCAATTTTCCGGGTCAAGACTCGGCGATATTGATATGCTCAGCTGCAGTGGGCCGCGGCCGTTTCGTCTGTTATATCAAAGTTGGCTTTCTACTTCTGCTGATTTGGCCTCTTTTCCTCGGCTCAGGAAGACAATCAAAAGAACTGGGCTGTTCGCTCGGAATGTGTGCAGGTCCTGGGGTTCGGCTAACGAGGTAGGACACACACTCAGGCTGGGCAAAGCTGCGTTTTTCGAGCTCCGGTATGAGGCATGGAGTCGAACAGCTTCAGAGCATCCGAAAACGACACAAGGCACCGGCAAGCACTGCTGCAATTTCTGAGAGGACGATGGTGTCACGGAAAACAAAACCTTCATTCTCAATCAGGAGAAGCCATGTCTAGTTCAAACCCATCTCAGCGTATCCAATCCAAACCTGTTGGTAGGAGCCGTACAGAACCTCCTCCATTCTCATTGCTGGTGACAATTTCGGTCCGCTCACTCAGCGAGCCCTCGACGTTGCTAGTTACTAGTTCGCGCTCGTAGCTGTGACGCCCCAGGATGTGGCTCATCACGCGAGCATGCGTATTGCGCCCGTTTTCTTGGGCTCGGGGTGACCAAAGATCTGACACCGGAACCTGCGATCTCTGAGGCCGTGGGCTCTGAATGATCAGGGCATCCGCTGCATCATTGCTCCTAGCTTCGCGGACATCTTCTTCAATAAGTGCGGCCTGCACGGTTTTGTTGGTGTTCAGGGCAGACTGTGAGACACGGACTGATCCCTGGCTCCAGTTGCTTCAAGAACGGGATGCTGCCCATTGCCGTGACAAAGGAGCATGCAGTGTGTGTGCCAGCGCGTGCCGCGCTAGCTCTGGCGAGCAATGGCAAGCGTTGACGCGCAAACGCGAGTTGCGGCCTGGACCCTGATCCTGAAAGGATGTGGTGGAAGAGCTCTGGACACACTCGGAGGCTTCACGCACAGGCACCCTGTCGAAGCTTCGAGCCCCGAATGCCCTGAGGCACACAAACTATTGAGCGTCGACCTTCAGAGCCAGGAGATTAGAAGAGAAGGCGGCGAGGTACTCCGCCAGTGTGGGTCGAATGGGATCAATGCGAGTGACTACAGTTTCTACTGTCCCTCCTTGGCTGTTTGGAGGCCATCAAATTTGAAGTGGACCCGTTCCGGAAGTGCAGAGCTCGATTGTTCGCATCGCGCGAACTCTCTGCAGCCTTGTTCTCCTCGGCTGCCGAGGCATTGCTTACTGAACGGACTGGACGACATAGGCAAGGGCGGCCAGGTCAGAGGCCGCAGCGTTCGAGTGTATCCGAGTCCGAGGCTTGACGCTCCAAAAGAGTGATCACATCGACAGCTTCGAGGCTCATGCTCTGCCGCTGGAACTTCTACGTGGCTTTAAGAATCCTCTTGGCGGGAAGGCGAAGCGGAGCTCCATGTTCCCTTGGTTGGTGGCATCCCGAGGTTTTTTCTCAGATCCAACTGGGAGCATTGCTCTGGCCAAGGATGGCCCAAACTACAGCAGATTAAAGGCGGAAGTTCGCATTTCCACGACCAAGGCTCAGCTCAGATGCCTCTAAGCGAAGTGGGGAGTGGCATTCAAGCGAAGAGATTTTCACATCTTGCTTGGCAGTCCGCGGCATTCTACGCACGTGTATCCAAGGGATTCCTGGCGAAATCCTCAGCAGGCCAGATGCATTCACTTGACAGCGATTTTGAAGCCACAGAGGCTGGTCTTGCAGCAAACGACGATCGGCCAGAGCGTCCTGCGGCTTCGCAGGTACAGAGCTTGGCTTGGGTTAACTCTGGAGCGACTGAGCCCCGCCGTCGCCAGCTCATTCTGACTGCCACGGGCAATGCGATCGAGCGGGCGGTTCGCGTGTCGCAAGACCTCAAGGCCCTGAGATTCCATGACCTGTTAGAGTCTGGGAACCCCCCGTGGTTCCCGTGGGCAGGCTGAGGGTGAGGTCGATATCTTGAAAGTTCGTACACAGATGGTGCAGCGCTTACTACCGTGTGACCGTGGTGATCGTGGCCTAGTGTGCAGAGGTCACAGTTGGAGCCCGCATTTGCAGTGATCGCCATTTAGGTCACCGGGTCCAACCAGCGGGCGCAGGTGCCACAGGCCAAAGCATGAGAGCTGCAACAGTTCAAAAGCCAACACGGCTGTACAAGTAGCTTCAATCCGACCATATACCAAGTAGCTCGTTTGCCCCATGCCACGTGCGAGTTTCGAGCGCATTTTTGGGTCCTTCGCAAAATACAGACCTGGGCAATGGTCCCAGGCATGAAGGGGACGTTACGTTGTGAGGAAAATTTCAACGGGTGTCAAGTCGATGCCCTCAGTCCAGGAAGGCTGTCATCCTTCAGACTGCTTGCCCCGGAGTCTGTGCTGCTCGTTGTTGTTTCGGATTTGTTGCTGCGAAATCTGGGGTCACTTACCCAGTCATGCGAGGAGGACGATGGACTGCCGATGTATGTCATGTGAAAATGCTAATCCAAGGCCGCGTTGACATTCTAAGCATTGCTTCTGGAGTTTCGGAAGTCCAAATCTGGCTCTCTCATCGCGGCTTGGAGCTGGGAGGGTCGTGCAGCGGTCGTGCATGTGGTGCAAGCCTTCCAAGATTCCAAGAGGCAGTTGAGCGAAAAACTTGCAGCACCTCAACTTCGAGCTTGCAACATCTTGCAATATCGGCCAATCAATGATTGCCAGTCACATGCCGTGCTGCAACATGTGTGCATTTATCAGCAGTGCGCAACTTCTTCTAGTCGCGAGACCAGAAATTGAAGATCTATCAGATCAGTCTCTGTCACCGATGCATGAAGTTGACAACTTCAGGAACTTATATAACTTAACTGTCATGCAATGCGGGGATATCATGCAGCTTGATAGTCAGATGCCAGGTGTGCGTGACACTGAAAGCGAGGCCGTTGTTGCCTCAGCATTCATTGCTTCTAGCAGAAAGGCAGTGCAGAATCAGCACCGAATTGGATTCGCAGGAAAGCACGTGCGGTGATTGTCGGCAGTGGTGCAGCAGCAGGCGCGAGACGGCCACGGGACAGAAGAGTGCATGTGCATGTTTTCCTCCCTGTCCGAGGCAGCACCGCATCAAAGGCTACTGACTGGTAAAAATCTGGCCCCACCCGCAACATGCTAGCAACACTGCAGCCCCACCGCACCATCCTCCACACCGGGACTCTAGATCGCAGTGAGCATAAAAAGCACACCAGAAATGTGGCAACTCGTCCTTGATCGCTGCATTCCCTAGGATGCTGCGCAGTTTTTCATCCAGAGCAGACCTGGCAGTAATCTGCTGGCGAGTCGCTCTTGTGAGCATTGACGGCCAAAATGTGGAGAGTGCCGAACCTAGGATTCATCGCCAGGAAATGCAGGATGACGAAAGAGAGATGTATGATCGCAGGCATCGCGGGGTAATGTGACGGACACCCGCCCTGGCATCCTGCAGTTCCTCGACGCGTCTCCTGTGCAAAGGATGCAGGCTTCTCCGTTTCTTGCAGTCAGCCACCAGGCTGACCACTGTCCCTGACAGGCAAGACACCACAAAAAAATTATGCATCGCAGATTTTCACGAGTTGCAGCTGTTGAGTACATTGTCGTTGAAGCGACGGGAAACTATTCACACTGCAAGGATTTACTTGTCATCGTGTTCGATTTCTATAGCAGGCTTGTTCCAGTGTTGGAGAGCATGTTTCGGAGAGGTGTGCCCCCGAATATCTCTCTGTTTCAGGGTGGCGGGACAGCGGGACTGCTCATCCCTCGCTCTGAACTTGTGTGCACCACGGCTTCAGCAGGGTAGGATGGTTTGCGCAGCACATGAACAGCCATGCGAAGCTTCATGGACCAAAAGCTCCGATGCTGGCGTTGAACAGCTCAAGGACCTCGCCAACAAGTCACAATTTCAACTCTAGTTTGTGGGCAACTCGCCTTCTTCCAAAGTCTTTTTCTAGCCTTTGTGCAGAGGCAGGGCGATGAGTTGGTGACACACTTGTGGGTGTTCATGTATTCCAGTTTTGGCAGGTAGTCGAGCAGGTGGTCGAGCAAACATGGATCGCGATGAAATACACCACAAGATGAGCAAGAAGGTTTGCCTTCCGGGATCTCCGTCCGGCCATTTTGTGGCTCCTAAGGTTGCCCAGCTCACGAAGGTGATTTTCCATTTGAACACGAGAAACGACGAGGCAATGGTTGGCAGAGTGTCCGAAGTTCGACGGGATTGGCGCGACAACCTTGCAATCCTCCCGATATCGAGGCTGATCAGCATCTCGCGGCTGTGTCCCAGGCACGGGATTGAAGCTAGAAAAGCACGATCTGGCACCACTATCTGCCATTTGCTCAGGCGTATGAGACAGAGGTGGAGCAGATTCTGAGAGATGCCAACTCGAAGGTTCGCCGTTTGGCCGAGGCCACAGCCTGGTTTTGCAGACTATCGCTGTCTTCTCTTCATGTGTGCGCATCAGGCAGTTGAGTGCGGGGCTCGGAGTCCTTTGCAAGGGCAAATCGCAACAGAGTTGGCGAATGGCCTCAGCTCGAGCTCTGTTTTTGGATGTCAGCCAAAGCCTCGGCTCTGTCGGTCACGTCACTAGGCCGCGGCGAGTGCGTCGGGGTTGCGGGGGCAGAACCAGCCAGCGGGATTGCATTGGTTTACCGACGCACCCGAGCCCTGCCTTCGGGCCTTCGGTCCATGAGCTTCAAAGGACGTTAAACCCCCTTCGCGCTCGTAGCAGCGTAGCGGGAGCATCGGAAACGTTTGCTTTGGGAGCCAAGTGTGAGGTCAGGCCATGGAAGCAAAGCTGCAAAAGAGCTGGAGGCTCTCAGGTCGAGCCACGAGGAGGAGAAGCGTCTGCCCCTCAGACTTCTCGCATAGGCGCTACACAGGCCGATGTGAGTATCAGTTGCAGAGAATTTCCGATCTGAATTGCCGGCGCCTCCACGCGCATCCTTGCCAAAACGTGTGAACGCATGTAAATGTAGCTGTCGGTCTTCGCGCTGATTCTAGCGTTTCGTGACTGGGCTCTGTGACAGGTCGTATTAATATTGATAGTCATTTCATGTTCGCTTATGCTCAACATCTCCCCCATCTCAGGTGGAACACTGTCTGTTTTGCTTAGACCTTCAGTGAGGTGAAGCGCTGAAAGAGATGCAGAACGTCAAGTCTGCAGCATCTGCCTGTGCCTGAGATTGTGATTGCCGCTTGCCCGCTCGCTTGACTGTGCTGTGCACGTGACACAATGTCTCGTAAGGCCAGGGAGAGCAAGAACACAGCAATGTGGAAAGAACGACTCAGCAACATGAATGCAGAGGCACGAACAGCATCCAAGCTCCCTTGCAAACTGTTGGTGCCTGGAGAGCTCTGCAGGTTCAAGCGGTCAAGCAACAATGCCAAGTGCAGGCTTCACAGTTCAAAGCAGCTTTGGATAGAGTCCAGGCGGGATCTTTGCGTTCGCGGCACACACCTCCTGATCTGCTTGTAGTATCCGTATAGCCTCTGCTTACAGGTCGTTTGTTTATGATACCTGCATAAAAACGCTCTCCAGCTGACTAGCCGAACGATTAAATGCTTCTTTCCGGAAGGATGGGCAAGGTGCCGAGCTTGCCGACCTTCGATCGCGTCATGAAACGGAACTACTCCGAATTCGTGCTGAGCACGAGGTCTGTGATTGCAATGGACGGTATGACATGAAGAGATGCCCCGGCTCTGGTCAGGCCGAAGTTCGCAGGATGGCGGAAGCTTCCGAAGCCTCTGCAGCCCTAGAGGCTCGCGATGCTTGTAAGGTTAAAGTGAGCATGTTGCTCTTCCGCAGGCAGAGCTGCAAAGGTGCATCGACCAGCAGAAGGCCTCGAGCTGGGGACCCGGGAGGTTCAAGAAAGAAGTCGTTGCATGAAGGCCGACTTCACCAGGGAGCTTCACGTGGAGCGCTCACGGTGCCAGGCCTTGGCGGCAGAAACTTGATAGCTGCAGTTGCGAAAAGGCGTCAGAGCATTGAAGGTGCAATGCCGGCATGGTGGCAAGATGCGGCACGATGTGGCATGATGTGGCATTTTGCAGGAGCTTCAGTCGCAGCTCGACAGTGCCAAGCAAAGCTTGGAGGCCTTTCATCATCACTACAACGCATCAGCCTTCCATGCTTTCCATGGCAGGACTGTCTAGCTTCCGGAGATGAAGCTCTGAAGGCCAGCGAGTTGTGGGAAGGTGAAGATCGTGAACCACGCAGTGCTTCCGAGGCCGCGCTTTTGGAGAAGAGCCAGCTCAGTGAGCGGTTGAGAGCCGCAGAAGATGACATGGCGTGGACATCAGCAAAATGGGGTCTTGACACGCGCTGTGTATTGACGCCCGTTTGCGCAAGACGTCTTCGAGGCCACTCTGCGGGAAGCCGTCAGTGCAGGCAACTTGGCCTTGCAGAGCCGAGACAAGGACCTCTGGCAATTGGTGTAAACTGCGGCTCGGCGGCTCCGGCGGCTCTCAACGTTCCTTGGTTGCGTTGCCGCCTGTTGTAACACCCTGCAGGACATAGAGAGCTTGAAGGCATCCGTGGTACAGTTTGAGCAGACTGTCAAAGTACTCCAGGTGCACGTCTCACAGTGGATCTGCATGGCCGCATAGAGGCTTACCTTTCTTGCAGCAGGAGGAAAGAGATGTCCTCAAGAGAAACCTCGTGGATTCACAGGCTCTCACCACATCTTGCTGAGAGAGCCTGACAGCATCTTTTCAGCTAAGCGACCTGCCTTTGAGGAGGAGCTTGCAAGACTCCAAAAAAAGCATGAGGCACACGGTAGTTTCGGGATAGCTGCACAGCTCTCTGTGCGTGTTTCTATACGCAGGGTGTAGACAGAATTAGAACTAGACAGTCGGAAAGCACACCGGTCGAGCTGGAGTGTCTCTACGGTTCACGCCTGAGCTCGGTGTGGACTTGAGCTCCGGCATGCCCGTTGGTTCATGCCGACAGCCATGCCCACCCGAGTGGCAACCATGCCACCTGGCCGAAATTGGCCGACGTTGGCAAAAACAGCTTCCACAAGATTTTCAGCGGATAAACAGTTTTGGACCGTCCAAATTGCCTCACCAACCTCCTTCTCGTCATCATCATCGTCATCACCATGATCAGTGAATCATCGTCATGATCAGCGCCAGCGCCAGCGCCAGCACCAGCACCAGCACCAGCACCAGCACCACCAACAACAACACCAGCAGCAGCAGCAACAACAACAACACCAACACTAGAGCCAGCGCCAGCGGCATCAGCACCAGCACCACGACCAGCTGCAGCAGCGACAGCAACAGAAAAAGCAACAGCAACAGCAACAGCAACACCTGTGTCCATCCATCCATAGATTTTCCTTCCATACATGCGGCCGTTCATACATACATACATGATGCATGCATACATGCATACATACATGCATACACACATACATACATACATACATACAGGCATGCATCTTCCGTACGGACGCGATGCACCTGCACACATCCATGCATGAAGAGCCACATACAGAAATATGTGCAAAAAAATGTATATGCATCTACATCTGCAACACCCCTATATGTATGTATGTGTATATATACACACATACACATAAACACATGCATGCACACATACATGCACACATAAAACCATGCATAGATGTACCTGGGGGTCAGGGGTTTGGGTTTAGGTGATCTGGGTTTTTGGCTTAATTGCGTAGGGGTTAAGGGGTTTTGGGTTTAGGGGTTTTGGGGTTGAAGGGTTTGCTTTCTTTTGTGGTTTGGGGTTTTGGTCTGAGTTTAGGGGTGTAGGGGTTGGAACCCGTGTTTTTTTTTTTGCTGTCGTTGCCTTTATGTTTTTTTTGTTCTCGTTGCGCGGACCCAGGAAGCCGGTGAGTGAGTGAACCCCGGTGCCCGCACCGACAGCAAAAAACAAAACGCGCCCCCGCACCGACAGCGCACCGACAGCCGAAAACCGCCCCCCGACGACAGCAAAAAAAAACGCCCCCGCACGACAGCAAAAAAAAAACGCGCCCCCGCAACGACAGCAAAAAAAAAAACGCGCCCCCGCAACGACAGCAAAAAAAAAAACCGCGCCCCCGCAACGACAGCAAAAAAGAAACGCGCCCCCGGGGACGACCGCCCTCGCAAACAACAGTATCGGGAACGACACAATATCTGGGCGTTTAAGTTGCTCATTTAAGGTTTCCATCAAGTGTAGTAGTAGTATAGTAGTAGTAGTAGTAGTAGTAGTAGTAGTAGTAGTAGTAGTAGTAGTAGTAGTAGTAGTAGTAGTAGTAGTAGTAGTAGTAGTAGTAGTAGTAGTAGTAGTAGTACTAGTAGTAGTAGTAGTAGTAGTAGTAGTAGTAGTAGTAGTAGTAGTAGTAGTAGTAGTAGTAGTAGTACTAGTAGTAGTAGTAGTAGTAGTAGTAGTAGTACTAGTAGTACTAGTAGTACTAGTAGTACTAGTACTAGTAGTAGGGAGGGCGTACCCCCAACCCCCCCGCTGTTTTAAGCCGTCTGCAAGCTTGCGTGATCTTGCGTGACAGCATAGAGGTCGTTTCGGGGAACCCACCCTGCATAATATGATATGTGCGTTTTGGAAACAACGCCATTCACCCTGCGAAAAAATTGTTTGCAAATGGGAAGCCTGTCCCGCACGTGCGAGAGTGCCAAGCTTGCTTGACAGCATATATATGCGTTTTATTTAAAACCAAGCATGCGAGCATCCTGACTGGCTGCCCCCCTTAAACCCCGCCCCCCCCCCGCCCCGCCGCCCATATGATTTTGTTGTAAACCAGCCATGCGAGCATCGTGATTGCGAATGGGGGGGGCTGCGCCCCCCCCAACCCCCCCGCTGTTTTCAGCCGTGTGCAAGGTTACATGACGGCAGAAGTCGTTCTTGAAACCCGCGATCTTTGAGATGTGTCTTTTAGAATCCAATACCATTTTTTACCTTGTGACAAGGGTGTTTGCAATCGGGGAGCCTGCGCTGGGCATGCGAGAGTGGCACTTGGTTGACAGCACATATGCGTTTTTTGTTTCAGCCGACCACGCGACCATCATAGAATCGCAAATGTGGGGGGCTGCGCCCCCCTCCAACGCCCCCGCTGTTTAAACCAGCCATCGTGATTGAAAAAGGGTTGGGGCTGCCCCCCCCAACCCCCCCGCTGTTTTAAGCCTTGCGCAAGGTTGCATGACAGCCTGCGAGTCGTTCTTGAAACCCGCGATGCCTGAGATGAGTCGTTTAGAAAACACCATTCACCTTGTGACAAGGGTGCTTGCAATTGGGAACCTGCGCCGGGCATGCGAGAGTGCGCACTTGCTTGACAGCACTGTTTCTTTTTTTTGCTTTAACCGACCACGCGACCATCATAATTGCAAATGTGGGCGGGGGGGGGGCTGCCTCCCCCAACCCCACCGCTGTTTCAAGCCGTCTGCAAGCTTGCGTGACAGCATAGGGGTCGTTGCTGAAACACACCCTGCATAATATGTGCGTTTTTGAAACAACGCCATTCACCTTGCGAAATATGTGTTTGCAAATGGGAAGCCTGTCCCGCACGTGCGAGAGTGCCAAGCTTGCATGACAGCATATATGCGTTTTGTTTAAAACCAAGCATGCGAGCATCCTGACTGGCTGCCCCCCTTTAACCCCGGCCCCCCCCCGCCCCGCCGCCCATATGATTTTGTTGTAAACCAGCCATGCGAGCATCGTGATTGCGAATGGGGCCCGCTGTTTTAAGCCGCGCGCAAGGTTGCATGACAGCCTATATAGGAGTCGTTCTTGAAACCCGCGATGCCTGAGATGAGTCTTTTAGAAACAAAACACCATTCAGACATCGAAATCAAATCAGCCAAAATTGTGCACGGCACCACATGGGGCGACACATTCAGCCGACATCCTGTGTAAATAATAGGACGTGGGGGCCCAAATAAGAACAAAAAGAACCAAAAACAACAAAAACGGACCGAAGTAAAACTCCACCCGTACTATAGTAGTAGTAGTAGTAGCAGCAGGAGTAGTAGTGTAGTATAGGTAGGGCGATGTGGAGGTGAGCTGAGAAGACGTATCTTTCCTAGAAGGAATATATGGGTGGAATATGCCTTGATTCTGTCATACAGACATGTTTCCGACCGAATGCTTGTCTGTAGTATACGTATTCCGTCATCACTATTACGGAAGACATGCGTTTGAGGGGTGTGTAGTACGTGCGAAGCAAGAAACCCCGGCACGCGCAACAACACAACGGCGAAACAAAAGGAACCAGTGTTTTTTTTTTTGCTGTCGTTGCCTTTATGTTTTTTTTGTTCTCGTTGCGCGGACCCAGGAAGCCGGTGAGTGAGTGAACCCCGGTGCCCGCACCGACAGCAAAAAAAAAAACGCGCCCCCGCACCGACAGCAAGCAAAAAAAAAAACCGACAAAAAAGCGCCCCCCGCACCGACAGCAAAAAAAAAACGCGCCCCCGCAACGACAAAAAAAAAAACGCGCCCCCGCAACGACAGCAAAAAAAAAAACCGCGCCCCTGCAACGACAGCAAAAAAGAAACGCGCCCCCGGGGACGACCGCCCTCGCAAACAACAGTATCGGGAACGACACAATATCTGGGCGTTTAAGTTGCTCATTTAAGGTTTCCATTAAGTGGTAGTAGTAGTATAGTAGTACTAGTAGTAGTAGTAGTAGTAGTAGTAGTAGTAGTAGTAGTAGCAGTAGTAGTGTAGTAGTAGTAGTAGTAGTAGTAGTAGTAGTAGTAGTAGTAGTAGTAGTAGTAGTAGTAGTAGTGTAGTAGTGTAGTAGTAGTAGTAGTAGTAGTAGTAGTACTAGTAGTAGTAGTAGTAGTAGTAGTAGTAGTAGTACTAGTAGTAGTAGTAGTAGTAGTACTAGTAGTAGTAGTAGTAGTAGTAGTAGTAGTACTAGTAGTACTAGTAGTACTAGTAGTACTAGTACTAGTAGTAGGGAGGGCGTACCCCCAACCCCCCCGCTGTTTTAAGCCGTCTGCAAGCTTGCGTGATCTTGCGTGACAGCATAGAGGTCGTTTCGGGGAACCCACCCTGCATAATATGATATGTGCGTTTTGGAAACAACGCCATTCACCCTGCGAAAAAATTGTTTGCAAATGGGAAGCCTGTCCCGCACGTGCGAGAGTGCCAAGCTTGCTTGACAGCATATATATGCGTTTTATTTAAAACCAAGCAAACCAAGCATGCGAGCATCCTGACTGGCTGCCCCCCTTAAACCCCGCCCCCCCCCCCCGCCCCGCCGCCCATATGATTTTGTTGTAAACCAGCCATGCGAGCATCGTGATTGCGAATGGGGGGGGCTGCCCAACCCCCCCGCTGTTTTCAGCCGTGTGCAAGGTTACATGACGGCAGAAGTCGTTCTTGAAACCCGCGATCTTTGAGATGTGTCTTTTAGAATCCAATACCATTTTTTACCTTGTGACAAGGGTGTTTGCAATCGGGGAGCCTGCGCTGGGCATGCGAGAGTGGCACTTGGTTGACAGCACATATGCGTTTTTTGTTTCAGCCGACCACGCGACCATCATAGAATCGCAAATGTGGGGGGCTGCGCCCCCCTCCAACGCCCCCGCTGTTTAAACCAGCCATCGTGATTGAAAAAGGGTTGGGGCTGCCCCCCCCAACCCCCCCGCTGTTTTAAGCCTTGCGCAAGGTTGCATGACAGCCTGCGAGTCGTTCTTGAAACCCGCGATGCCTGAGATGAGTCGTTTAGAAAACACCATTCACCTTGTGACAAGGGTGCTTGCAATTGGGAACCTGCGCCGGGCATGCGAGAGTGCGCACT